GACATCAAAAGTTGCTAGCGCTCGAGAGGTTGGGATGCTCCGGAGACAGGTGAGACAGGTGAATGTACGTGTGCGGTAAAGAACTGTTCCTTTTAGTTTGGATTGATGCCCCCTAGGGTTGCCCTGTGAGGGTTGGATCAACGGCGGCCTTTGCCAAAGTGACCTTTACTGGTCACCGGCAATGGTTAAGCCATGACAAACCCTGTAAAGGGTAAAATCACTTTAGGACAAATCACTTTACGCAGCACACCGACCCAGTTGACCAGTTGCAATTGCTGTTGTTTCTTGTGTTGGTGGCAGCTGCTTATCATCTCTGCAGTGTGCACAGCGAATTGCGATTTGCCGCCCTTTGTTTTTGTGGCGCGCCTTGGCAGATACCGTTTGTTCGCTCAAGGGCCACAGGGCCAATGGGACCACACGGCGCAGGTCTTTATCGACATGCAGATGAATGCCTGTCGTTTGCCCGCGACCCAGCAAGTTCTCGAATGCCAACATATTGCCCTCGTTGGGTGGTTTTGAGCCTGACCTTTGGGCCAATTTACTCCGCTGACCTACATGGAAGCCAGACAGGCATGCTTTTGGGGCAATATCCCTCTTGAGGGAATCCCTTCTGGGTCCTATGTTGATTTGCAGGGGAGTAATGCGAGTTGAGTGTTGGGGTGATGTTTAAATGGCCCATAGATGGAAACCTATTGCGGCAAAGGATCAAAGAAGCAGCGGCGGGAGATACGCCCAGTCTGCATTGGGGTTGTCTCGGCTGAAACTTCACTTTTAGGTTGCGAAGTTCCGGGGAGTTTCCTTTCTCCCCAAGGATGTCTGTCTCGGGCAGTTATCCTGATACGAAGAAGCTGATTCAGCACACCCCAGGGAAAGTCAAGCGAATGTTCAGATACCCAGAAACCCTTTGCTACGCCTTCTTTAAAGGCCTTACCAGGGTATCCACGAGTCTTGGGACTGCCATCTAAGGATGCTGTCTGTGCGCGGTGGGTACTTCCCCAGGGTTGCCTGCACTTGTTGGAAACGAGGTTGTTGATTGCTCAACGTTTGCTTTCATTACATGGACATGCGGACCCTTATGTTTTGCTGGCTGCCGGATGTTTCTACTTTCACATCGCGTCCACTTCCAGGTGTCATGTTCAGTTGCGTTGGAGCCAACTTGCGCCTTGTTGTTTCCAGAACGCTTTATTCTATCCATGTGTCGCATCGTCCTTGGACATTGCCTTGCTGCCCATGCCGATTGGGGTCATGGCAAGTGTTCCGATATGAAGAACGCAACATGCATTGCTTTCTACGTCTTCCACTTGCCTAAGATGGTGCGCGTATGGGGGCCATCAAGCTATGGCTCTGTCACGCTGACACTGGCGTTTTCCGAGGCTGCGTGCGACGCACGGCCGGGAAGCCTGGCCGAAAGTTGGCTGAGCTAGGGGTCCCACATGTCTGTTTTTGGGAGGTTTGAGCTGCATGCTGAACTGCACCTTTTGGACCCAAGATTCACGAGTTTGAGTTTCTGTTTTTTCCTTCGGCTTCTTCCTGAAAGGATGGATCAAAGGAGCCCTGTGCGTATCAAAGGAGTCGTCATGCTCCAAGTTTCTCCTTGGCTTCCCGTAAAACCTTTCCCAGGTGTGAAGAATCTCCGCTTCCGCTGACAACTCAGGATTCCATACCCCGAAGCCTCCAACCCCTAAACTCAAGAATCCCCCAAACCCTAACTCATAACCCTAAACCCTAAACACCCTAAGAGCCTCAAACCTGAACGCCCTAAAATACAAACATTCCCGCAACCCTGAGCCCCCAAACTGCAAGCCCTGAAATCCTTTGATTGGAGCGCATTGCGCAACCAAAACAAGGTCTCGTGAGAAGTGAGAAATGTTATGAGAAGTGAGGAAATCCTTTCTGGGGACAAGTGAGAGCTTTGCCCAACTACTTGTTGCCAAGAAGTACTTGTTGCCAACCCCCAAAGGATGTGTTGAGAGCAAAGAGCCCCTTTTCCATGATTCCTCATTTTCTGTTTAGCAAAATGAGGCCTCCGTGGCTTCAGGGGAAAGAGGGGTTTGACGTGGTGTCGATCCCAGGATCTGGAAATGTGAGCGAAGGTTTCTTTTGTAGGCTTGAGGTGGCATGACTCTTGAAATACTCGGCGTTCCGAGACAGCGACTTCCTTCTGCGCTATGTGAAGAAGTGGAACGAGAGGAGCCGCTGCCTGCGTCCGGGTTCCGCAGTTCTGAACCATTGGATCATTGGCCGGCCCTCACCCTAAGATCACAATCAGCGCATCCCTAACTGTTTGTTTAAGGGCTGCCAAGAAACCAAAGGGGTGCCAAAGACCCTTTGGGTGGTTCAACAATGTTGAGAGTGCCCGAAACAGGGATACACACCCAAGCAAGCAAAGAAGCAAGCAAGCAGCAAGAAGCAAGCAAGCAAGCAAGCAAGCAAGCAAGCAAGCAAGCAAGCAAGCAAGCAAGCAAGCAAGCAAGCAAGCAAGCAAGCAAGCAAGCAAGCAAGCAAGCAAGCAAGCAAGCAAGCAAGCAAGCAAGCAAGCAAGCATGCAGCCCGCCCTAAACCCATCCTACACCTTCCTAAACCCACCCGAAACCTCCCTAACCCCACTCTTACTGCGGCGCACCCCAATCAGTGCATTTTTCCTGGTCTACGACTGGCCCAGCGAGCAATGCAATCATGCAAGATGTGGCGCCGTAGAGAGCAAAAACACGAAATGCACATTGCAGCAGCAAATGAAGGAAATTCAAAGCACGAAATACCGCAGACAACGTAGGCAGAATTCCTGGGCAGAAGCTGGAGAAGTTACCGTGAACACATCCGGGAAGACAACTCCAGAAACACGAAACTACGTGGAAAAAGCACAAGGGAAAGCTAAGACCCCAATTTTGGCACAAACCCAGGATCGCTTTTGAAGACCCCAGGTATACAAGCGTACCATGGGCTCGCAAAAGAGCAACTCCGAAGCCCCGCCGTTTCCCTGCGGTGGTTTTAAGCATCTGGTACCATTTCTAAAGTGAGCTTGCCTCTTGTATTGATAAGCTTCAGACACAAGGGACCCTGCGGCAAGGTAGCCCTCTTACCACTAACATGGTAAACTGTTTAACACTCAAAGACGGTGGCCTTTCGATTTCCCTCCAAAACCGCCAAACAAAAAGAGGTCCAACTTGTTTTGACCCGTCCCTCGTTTCACTCGCTTCCTTGCGTGCGTCCAGCGCATGCGTTTCTTTCGGCGAAGGAACCCCCAGAAGGAGACGCCGGAGCAAGAGGCACTGCAGGAGCTGCGGAGCCCACAGGGGGCTCCGACTGAACTAGGTCCCCCAGCTAGGCGTCAACTGTTACCAGCTTTTTTCGGTTGGGAGGCTTCCCCTACTAAAATAGACAAAAAGGAAAAAGGGGTACCCTTATTCTAATCTCAAATCTGGAGCACCTAGTGAATGTCCCCTTTGTTGTCTCGGCTTCTGTTGCTCGCCGTGGTTTGTGAGGTTGCTTTTGGTGTGGGCTCTTGGTCCTATTTCTGTCAAACCCCGGTCAAAGATCCTCCAGTGAACCCTTTGGGCAGGATCGAGGCTTGGCGTCCCCAAGCCGCTCTGATTAGACAGAGCAGCATGGACCCCTCTGGCCCTGAGCCCACCCGGGAAATTGGAGGCAGGGGAGTGTTGTCGACCACAAGCAGAGGTGACCATAGCTCTTATGAATCCTGGTATGTGGCTTTTGGTACAATGCCAGCATTGCCTTGATACCGGGTTTTAGCTATGACGAATGTCAGCAGTGTAGCCAAGCAGATGTTTTGGTTTTACCAAGGGTAGGTAAGCAGGCTGAAAAGGATAGCAATTTGAGGCTAGCTGCGGAAACCAAACAACAGTGATGGCGGCTCTCGTTGGCAAGAGAGGGCGTTTTGAATCTGAAGAATTTAGCCCGACTTCCAAGGATTGTCAATGTCCTTTGGTGATACCGTAGCCCCATCGAGAACTAACCAGGGCTTGGGTGTACCTGCTCGCCCCCTCTTCATAAATTGACCCTTCTTGGACACTGCATTCGTGTTTGGGAGCGTGCCGGAATTTGGCTCGGCTTTCTCAAGTTCGGGATGCCTCTGGTTGGTTGAGGAGTAAACCAGGCAGCCCATCTTTGGCAGTGTGCAACTGGCAGTACCATGCGGCCCCGGTTGCCCTCCCGTCCAGCATGGAAGCCTCCGTGGAAGCCTGGTCCCTTGAGTGGGAGAGGTTTGCTACTTCCGGACGGGAGGGCACCCGGATCAACCAAAACATCAGGAGGTTGGGGAGGTGGGGGACGACATCCTGGAGGCCGATTGGGCATTCTGAGGTTTGCCTGGCTGGATGAACCCCGTTTGGTTGAGTTCAAAAGCCAGCCAAAAGGGAACCAATCATTTTGGGGATCGCATTTTGACACAGAGCGCAGTTGCTCCGCGAAAGACGTTTATTGCTCGTTCAAAAGACACATCCTTCGTATGTGCAACATGGTCATGAGGGGGAAGTGTTTTGGCGCTATAATTTGGTTTAACTGATTTGACACATGTCCGGCGAGTGGGCGACCTCGCTGGGCTGAGAAACCTCCCCGGTGGCAAAGTCCAGTCCCTGAGACGTTCTGATTGAAAACAAATATAGGGTCGCCATTATAAAACACCGTCCTCTGCCCCAGTTGCCCAGCGGTGCCCTTTTTTCAGTCTTTGTTTTTTTTGAAAAAGGGTTCCCCTGGAAAGTCACCCATGCCACCAAAAGAGGATGTGCCTGTTTTTCTCCCCATGGCCACTGGGCATCTCAGCTGCGGCTCCTCGGGAATCGGGTGGAGTTTTTGAGGTTTCAAGAATGGCGAGCTTTCCCGAGTCGACTCAGCCCCAATGGTTTTTTGGTGTCTATGGTGAGGGGTGGCAAACAAGATGCCGAAGTTCCTTGGCTCGTGCAGAGGCATGGAGCCAGGATCAAAAGAGTGTTCTTGTGCCGCTTCTTCCGGCGCCGTGCTCAAGGCGGAGCTGAGAGACCTTCATGGGGCGCGAACTCGGGCCGGTTGGCGACCCCCAAAACAGAGGGTGTTTTCCCAAAGGAAACTTATCCCGTCGGGTTTTTGATTGGTTAAAGGGAAGCCCAAAGGAAACTCATCGCTTTCTCGGGTCTTCTCCCGAATTTGAAGCCAGGGTTTGCAAAGAACATGCCCATCCCCAGCGGCGCTGGCGCCTTGGGCCCCTTGGCCACTCTGGAGGACTGCAACGCGGGCGCCTAGAGCCGAAATGAGAGAGGCACGCAGTGCAAAGTACTCGAAGAATTCCTACATCCCCCAGTGCCCTTCTCTCCCCTTTTTTGGTTGGGAGGGCTCCCCTGCTAAAATAGACTACAGAAAAAAGGGTACCCTTAACCTCTCTACTGGAGGACCTAGATTCTTTGGAGGCCTTCAGTTCACAACCCCCCACCATTAAAAGGGGGGGGCGTGGACTGGTAGTGGGGCCATGTCAGTGGCGGTTCTTTTGTTGCACTAGAACCCTCTTGATGAGTCACGCGGGCAATCCGCCAATGAACCCTAAGGGCGCGTCAAACACCCGCTGGACCGTCCCAAATGATGGCTTCTCCAGTTGGTTGACTTTAGAGACATATGATCGCTGGTAAGTCTTCCACCTCGGCGCGGAACTTTAGGCAGATGGAAGTTTTTTGCAAACCGTCAGGATCAACTGTCAGGAGGATTTTTAGTCACACTTGCCATGTTTCTCAATTGGGATTCCTGGCAGCTCTGTTCGCCAGGAAAGACCACTGTTTGTGTTGCACGCCACAAAACACGTCGAGCCGCTGCGCCCCAAGTCGGCTTGGCGCGGCATCTTCCAGGCAATTTGGGGATCGCAATGAAACCGACCCAAGGCGTTGTGGATGTGGAGACGGACGTGCCGGAATCCCTTGGCCACGTTGAGCGTTTGGTGGAGCTTCGCTTCGCGAGGCTCCGGCAGCAGCTCCTGCTGGACTTTGAGGCAAAAGTTTCTCAGTGACCGACAGCGTGGTTGTTGGGAAACAGTTTGAATCATTTTTGCTTGTTGTGGTTTGGTGGTTGACATCCCGACTTAACTGCCAAAATTTATTTGTTTTTGCTCCCCTGCCAACGTCGACCAAGACAGAGCAACATGTCTTTTTGATCTTGAGTAAGAGGTTCTTCTTCACGTGCATCCACCTGTGCCACCATATGCATCAAAGTGCCCTAGTTCGTGCCAAACATTTCCACCAGTGCTCCGCCCCCTTCGGGGTTGAAGCAATTACTGTCTCATCGACTCGCGGGTGCATCTAGCTTGCCCTGAACATGTTCCAGGCCCGCTTGCAGTCGCTGGAAGCTGCTGTGGCGTCAATTGACGATGTAGCGCACCAGAAGAGCCTGAAAAGCGAAGAACAGGTGGACATTGGACCTGGGAACAGTGGAAATGGGAACCACATGAGCCTTGGCAGCTGGATTTGTTTTCTGGTTCTGATATTCTTCCGCCGGGATGTCGGTTCTGCTTTCCCTTTCAGCTTCTCTTTGCTTTTTTTTTCTTTCTCGGATTGTGGGCATCGACTTCCAAGGAGCCCTGTAAGCCCCGAGCCGTCAGAGGGCAAGTCCAAGGACGGCTCCCAGTCCCTGGACGTGAGGAAGGCGGAGGAGGAGGAGGTCACGGAAGTCTGCTTCGAGGAATCCGTGTGGACGGTGCCCATTTTGCTGTGCTTGTCGGAGTTGTACATTGGCTGGCTGCTTGACAAGAAAGAAAACAACGACTGCAAGGGCTTCGGTTTGGTTTGCTTTAAGCTCATTTCCTGAAGGAATGTAGCCACGGGTTGCCTTTTGACCAGCTCGTGGGAGGTAGTTACTTGTTTGGCAGAGGGCCTTCTTGCGGCCCCTCAAAGGTATAGTCTCATAATTGGGAGCCCCTTTTGGACGGACGGCAGGAAATGGAGACCCAACCAGCGATCTCCTAGCCCGTTGCAAAGCTTACACACAAAAAGGCAAATTTGGGGGCTGGGTGGTGGTCGGGAAGGGAAATTGAAAGAAGCTTTGAACAGTGCGATGAACTGTGTTGAACCTAGGGGGTCGGACAATTGGTCGAAGCTGAAGCGAGGTTTGATACCCTCTTTGCCGCCACGCTCATCTTGCTGAACCTCGCCATGCAGGACTTGAGGGCTGGGAGGTTGTGTTTAAATCGGATACTTCAAGCTGGCCACCCTCACGGGCCCTGGAGGTCTGAAAGATTTGTTTAATGTTGATCAGACCCTTCCCCAGAACGCGCGTTAAAAGAACCGTAAGCCCTTGCCGGCTGCTTCGTGCTTGCGTATGAGCTGCGCTGCACGCATGAGCTGCGCGGCAGTTCTCCAGCTCTCAGTCCCTCCAGCCACCTGCTCTTCAGTTCAGCCTGGCCCCCCTTCCAGCTCTCTCTCGCCCGAAGACTTCCGGCGAGGGCCGAAGGGAACGGTTCAAGAAACCGAAGGCAAAGTATCCATCGACACATCGGATATTTACCTTGATTGGCAAGGCCGGGAACCCTTGCGAGGTTTACAGTCCTTGGCCTATTTAAGTGTCCGGTGCCAAAGCAAATAGCCCAAGAGGGCCCGCGAGACAACTTTGGGGTCTCTTTGTCCATTCTTATCCTTCGGGCCCTGCGGCCCTGCGGTTTTCACCCCTTGACAATTCTCAGCCCTCTGTTAGCCCTCGTATAATTTACTGTTGTACTATCGGTTATCCGTTTCGTTTCGCTCCTCTCACTTATTGGCCAGGTTGATTCCCAGGGTGCAACATACACTCATGAAACCGTCTAGCACTGCACCTGGCCTACTTTTGCAAACGCAGCTTTTGCACTGCTACTGTACGACTCTCCGAGGGGGAAGCGCGCCAGCGCCAGGCTTCTTTCTCGGGCATCCTGCTGTCGCGGGCCTTCATGGGGGAGGACTTTGTCAGCAAGATTTCCAGCGCGAAGATTTGGCGCACCAGTGTAGCCCACGACTACAAGCGCCTCGCTGCGGAGTGACTTCAAAGGGGCAAATTAGGGAATTACAGCCTGGGATGTAGTTGAAGCATAGTGATAGTGGATGAGAGCATTGAAGCAAAAAAGGGTGTTCAATGGGGAGACGTGTTCTTTTTAAATGCTAATTAGTTTATTGTTATATATATATATATGTGTTTATTTGTTTATTTAAACGCTAACGCGAAACAGCCCGCCTCCAACCTGCTCTTTCCTTCATTTCCCCTCATCTCTCCCTTCATCTCACTTCATGTTCCGCCTTGCTTTCCCTTCATTTCCCTCTAGTTCCTTTGAAATTCCTTACATGTCTTTTCATTTCCGGTGAATCCCCTTCAGCTCCCTTTCATTTCCATAATTTCCTCTCATTTCCTTCATTTCCCTTCATGTCCTTCATGTCCTTTCATTTCCCTTCAGTGTCCTTCATTTCCATTCATGTCTCTGCTTGGCCCGTCGTTTCCCTTCAGTTCCCTTCAGTTCCCCCTTCATTGCCCTTCCCCAACACCCTCATTTTGCACCGCTTACCCTGCATTGTCCGCATCATTTTGAGACTATGCTTGCAGTGCTAGGGATGCTGTTCAGTACCGGGCACCAAGCTGCTCTTTAGCCGCTTAAAATCGACCAACATCGCCCAAACAAATCAACCACAGCTCGCCAACCCGTCCTGTTTCCCAGGCAAATTTCCAGGGCAATTCAGGACGGGTAAAAAGGTCAACCAACCCGTCCTTTTCCCGGGCAAATTGGGAAGGGCAAAAAAATAGCTGCTCGTCCAACCCGGCCTGTCACGCGGGCAAGTCAGGAAAGGTAAACAATCGTCTCGTCCGAGCTTGCGAACAGGAAGCAGAAAGGGGTCGGTGGATCAGGCTCATTGCTGACTATTCAATTGGGATGCAAAGAATGGTTTGTTAGAAGGATTTGCGCGGTTGGACAATGAGTCCAAAGGCAGACTCCTCTACCAAAAAAAATGCTGAAGAACAGGGCAGTCTGCCAATTTGAGGGATTTGTTGGGCAAACTTGGTGGTTGACACACCCAGCTTCCGTGGGAGAGAATCCTAGAATGTAGAGAAGATCAGGTGCAGCCAGACCCTTCTGAACCTGAGGCAAAGGGCAAGTTGAAGTCTCAGCCCAACAGATCCATCGCCTTTGCTGCTCCCCTGTTCGGTTGCACCCGATCTGTAGGCTCTCCAGTTTACATGGGGCATTCATTGTTTTTACAGGATTAAGCTTGCGCCGAAAAATGTGCGTGAATTCGAAGCATGTGCTTATACGTGTTTATACATCAAAGTATTCGCCTGTGCTATATGCGATGTATATATCTTGTGTACTCAGAAGTGGTTGAGCTCATCTTTTTTGAAAGGGCTCATCTCCCTTGACAGAGACTCCTTCGTTTGGCCGAGGCACTTGGACTTAGCCGACACCAGTTTGGTGTCCCGAGTTTGCAACGGCGACGAGGCTCTGATCCTGTCGACCAATCAGGCCACCCTGATTGAGCAGATCAACAGCTTCCTGGGCCTGCAGACATCGGAGTTCTACGAAGGCAGGGGCCCAACTAGATTTCTTGGGATGGTTTCAAGGGTTGTCCTTGCTTACCATGTCTATTTGGGTGTGTGATCGTTTTTCCGTTGTTAGGTTGCCATTTCGTGAGATTTCTTTGGCTGATGTTTCGAGGGTGAAACAACTGGGAAGCCTGCAAGGGGCCTTCCAGCCGGGCGTTCTGCTGTGCATGCTCTGCGTGGTCCTTTGGACGCTGTGTGTGTACAAGGAGCTCGACTGCGTTGTTAGGCCGAGGTCCCTGACACTGAATTTTGGACATGCTCGCCCCCCACCAACGTCCACCTATGATTTGTAATTTCCCGCGGTGACATGTGTCTCACCCAGCAGCCATCGCCAAAAGAACTTGGCGAGTTTTGCAAAACACCCGCAGGAGTTTCGGCTGATTTGGATGCAGTTCGAGATGGTCTTGGCCATCCCCCGCGGGCGCAGGACGAGTTTGAAGCTGAAGCGCAAACGTTCTCGGTGAGCCAATTCCGCTGAAGTTTGCGGTTGTCGAAGGGCCTCCCTTGTGACCCGAGACCCATGTCCGCGAGCAATTCAACTTATGCCAATCAACATCACTTGGCAAATGTCTAGTCTCAGCATTTTGTCTCAGCAACAAGTCTCATGCGAATTGAACCTTGATCGACGCCTGCAGGGCAGCTGAAGCATCGTCTTCGTTTTCTCTAGGTCTGAGAACTTTGCTGCTTCCCCAGCTTGAGTTTCTCAGAAGTGTTGAGGTCAAGCTTCTGTCTCAGCCGGCGGTTTCTTTGCGGTCTTTTGTGGAAAGCCCTGAGCATCAATTGAAGGGCTTCCAAGGACATCCTATATGGAACGCCAAAAGACCAAATCTAAATAGTCGTCCAGAAGTGGGACATGTGAGAAGGGCCGTTTGCTCCAAACACGGCCGTTTCAGGAGAGTCGGATGATATTTTGTGCGGCACTTCAGCCGCAGCCCCTTTTCTGCGAACGATCAAGGAATAATGCAAAAGCTTTCCTACTGCGTCCAGTTGTTTGAAAAGTCTAGGAGCCCATGATCGATGGCGCATGCCAGCTTTCGAAAGCGTACCAGGGTTCGACTGATCCAACAATTGTCCAATTCAAAGCTCTTTGATTTGAAGCTCTCTTGGCCTTTTTCCTCGCACACAATCAATTCTGCCATTTGATACGCAGCCTGCTCTCGAATAATACCAGCCCCGCGGTTCACTATTTCAGTGCAACGTTGGCATGACTTTTGCCATGCGAGCATTGAAGAAGACACTTTGCCTGGGCCTTTTACCAAATATGATCCTTTTCGGTTCGCAGTTCTTTTTTAGCATTGAAGAAACTTTGGTCCCCACACCGAAGGAACCTATGCGCGTCATCCATATCGGCAAACACATGGCGACAAACTGAGGTTGCCCGCTTCTTTTGTTGTGCTCTTAATTTGTCATATGGACTTACTATTCTTGCTTAGGCTGCGCTGCAAGTCATTTTACCGGCTGTGAGTGCATCCCTGTCATGCAGATTCTGCTGCTTTCCTGTCAGCCACCCTGGTCCGGCCAGTCTCGGACGAAAGTGAGTCAAGAACGGCCGTGAGACAAAGCAACCATCTATTTTTAGTCGTTTCAGGCCCCAGGTATGGATACGTTCCCCTCTGTACGAGTGAGTCCTCTTTGTGCAAGGGGAACAAACATGGCTCAATAAGTGGCTGCAAAGGGCGCTTTTGACATTTTTTGAGAATCCAAAAGGAGGTCCCACAAAGTTTAGTTTTATGTGCAAAAGGTGTTTCCTGCCTGAAGTTCTGAAGACCCGAAACGGGTAAGAGACGAGTTCCGATCGCTTGCGGTAACCACTTGTCGAACCCATGGGTCACCCAGCGAGGACCTCCTTCCACCGGAGGGCTTTCCGCCAGATCTCGTGTGGCCGGGTGGTGATGATGCTTGTGGTGGGACTGGCAAGGGCAGCCATCGCTTCCATCCTCATGGTGGCAGGCTCCTTTGGGGTCTCAGGGCAAACCTCTCCATTTCCTGCGGCCTGCTTTTGTTTCTCTTCGTGCTTTCCCCATGGTCCCACAGCCATTCTGTTGGGACAATTCCAGCGAGCTCACCCACAGGCTCCCGTTTTGGGCCGTTGGAACAAGACTTTGATGTCTGCCTCCGAAACCCCTTGCCAAGAAGGGCCGATGTATGGACACCTCTGAGGATTTTCCGGAAGCCTGGCAAAAGCCTGGATTTTGCATAAATATTGTTGAGCCCTGGTTCATACATTCCCCAGTTGTTAATCAGGGGGTCCCTTTTGAGTGGGGATTCATTTTGTTATTCAAGCGGTTTTGATATATGTATATATATATATATATGTATGTATAACTCAGGGATATATATATATATATATATAACTCAGGGGTTTATCAATCATTCAGCATTCTCCAATCTTGGGGAGATCCGTGGCGTCTTTGGGGTTTTCATCCCCGCAGTGCCGACGGCTTCCCGCGATGCCAATCCTATGAAACCTCAGAGAAGACCATTACCTGAGCCCATTCTGTGAGGGAATGATCTACCCCTTGCTCCAAATACCCTCTGATTTCAGGGTATCGTGTCGACCCTCTACTAAAAAAGGAGGTATTTGCCATGGAAACCCAGGTTTTCCCAAAAATACCCTGAACAAAGCGGGTATTTTGAGTAGGGGGTATGGGGGGTGGACATGACAGGGTCGGGTGCCCCATACGACCAATGCATCATGCCCTGCATGCTTTGTTCCGGTGGCCTTGCTTGGGTGTCTCTTAGTTTCTTTCGAGGTTGCCCATGGTTTGTGGCTTTAAAGGGAAACCAAAAGGAACACCATTTTGAGGGTCCCCCAAAACATGACACGCCCCATTGTAGTTGATCCAATTGCTGGATGCGCGATGCGTTGCGCAGTCGAGGCATCCTTTGGCTCTCACGGACTACCTCTATCCAGGAGTCTGAGAAGTTGATTGCCGAAAACTGGGAGTGGATAGAGTTACATGTGCAAGCAACCAGCGTGTGCCGAGACGGGAATATGGTCATATCATTCCCCCCTGAAGCTGGTATTTGGATTGTCCCCAATTTGTTTTGACCCCCCTTATTTTTGTTTATTTGATTTTTAAAGAACGTGCTGTTGGAGACATGTGAACTTCATCCCTTTGGGTCAGACCGAAGGCAATCGACGTGCCATGCCAGGAGTTGATGCTGAACGCCGTAGCGCTGAACGCCATCCTGGACGTGGACGAGTTCCTTTTCGTGGGCATGCCGCTCGACTGAACCACCTCGCTTGTTTGGGATCAGTTTCATGTTAAAGGGATGCATAAATCTTCTAGTTTTGACTTGGGAAAAAGGGGGATGCGGACATGGAGTTCAGGTCGGTTTGTTTTGGGCACATGGTGGACCATAGTGGGTGACTGTTTAGCCTCATCGACGGTCGATCGCTTGTGGTTCGTTGGTTGCACGTAAGCTGAACGGTAAGGGAAGCAGCTTGGTTTGTGTCCACTTTGCATCCCCATGACCATATGGCCCTGGACTTTTTTTAAAGTAAGACTCTGTGTCTCTGTGTTGTTTCCCCGTTTTCAGGTATTTCAGATGTTTGGACTTTCACTTTTGCCAACTAATGGGTTTTCCATGAAACCACTAAAAGTTATTTTGTTAGCGAGCAGAAAGCAACCGAGAAGAGATGCTCTGTTGATACGAGGGTTTCGGGGACTGAGGACGCCCGCGAAGATAAATGAGGCGGTGAGGAAGCTGAAGCCGCGGCGAGTGAACTACAGCCACCAGCGCTCCCAAACGGAGTCCGCGGTGCACTTCGCTTCGCTTCTGGTGGTCGTGGTCCTGTGCCTTCACAACAAGCGCTCAGGGAGGGAACCCGCAACCCCTCACGCACTACCCCCAAAAGGGATAGGAAGGTGTCCCAAGTTTGGGACCTCTCAAATGACATCATCAAATGTAGGCTCAGGTTTGCCGAATATGGACCAGAATCCGAAGATGCTATTGTTGCTGCCTCCCAACCGGCCCTCTTACAAGCGCGACGTTTTTATGCGCAGAGACCCATAGGTTGCCTCCCGGCACTTCCAGGTTTGCGAGCTGGGAGGGTACCTCGTTGCAGAGTGTGCTTTTATGGTCAAGCGCGTTTGGAGCCCCGATACATGGAATTTGCTGTTGCTTGCAGTTCTGCTTTATTGATGATATGTTATGGTATGTGTGTGTGTGTTGTTGCAGATCCATCAAGGGAGTGTTCAGCGAGAGGCTCTTTGAGAGATTCCATACTGGTGCGTTGCAAACCGGGCGTGTTTTTGTTTTGTCCCCCAGGAACCAACCAGAAGGATTCACCGAGGGAAACCTCTACAAGATTCTAGGTGATTTAAAGCGACCTCAGCGACGTCACTTCGAAATAACGACCTGGTGCTTGAAAATATACAAGCGGGCATTGCAGTGGTTCATTGTTCTTTTCCCAGCCTTGCAAAAAACAGTTGATCATCAACTGGTAAATAACCATAGCAATCTCAGTGAAAACGATTTTTCAGAAAGCAGCCCTATTTTCACAAACTGGGTTTTGTATTTTGGACACCATCTAAAAGAAGCGAGCGCCAAGAGTCGGCAGAAGGCACGAGTTGAACCCCCACATGGTGGTCACAGACGTTCCGGGGCGAGCATAATGCCACTACACCAGGATGTGATGACATGTGAGGGCCTCTTTTGGGCAATTTGGCCGATTGTTGGGTTCAGCTGCAAATTAGAGAATGCCCTATTTCGCAAAAACAGGTTCCTTGCAGTGCATGGTTCCTTTGGTGCTTTCATATGTTGATTTGCTTGAAAGCTTGATCCCCGGTGCATGGTCAACCCAGAAGAAAGAAACCTTTTCTTTGGTGCATTTTGCTTGGCTGTTAGGACTTTAACTTTTTGCCGACTCATGGCGCCCATTGCTCGGTACGCGCTGCGCCCCCCCCCTCCCCATCTCCAAACCAAGCACAAACCGATTCCAACAAAATTTGCCCGCGATAGAAACCCCCTATTTTGCAAAAATAGATCCTTACGCCGTCTCCCACCAATCAGACAGGAAACGAACAAATTTCTTGGGAACGCGGTTCCTGCCTCGTAAGCCAGGCAGCAGCCTTGCCTTGTCCCCATGAGCCCCCGCAGCGATAGAAATTTGCTTGCAGGAGCAGACCCTCACCCCTCGTGTGGGCTACAGCGTATGGCTCTTTTCGACGAAAGAAAATACAAAAAGATCACAGAGAGCACCAGCGCAGCATGTTGCAACCTGCAAAGGCTTCGCTGCCGCCTCCATCCGGTCGTCGGTGACGGGCGTGTGTGTTGCTTGTGGAGCAGGTTGAATCAATCCTATTTTAATGAGATAGGCTGCTTTTCAGGTTCCTATTTTTTTGAGTGTTGAGATGACAACTTCCAACCTCCAACCAGTTTTTTTAAATCCATTTGCGTTTGGTTTCTGGGGCAGTGGGCCCATTTCAGCGAAATAGGCTGCTTCTTCACCAACATTTTTCAAGACTGGGTTTGTAAACCCTGGTTCTTCGCACGAAGAATGGTTTGACAAACTAGGCTCGTTTGGGATCAATCGGGGTTTCCGCGTTTCCGTTGCGCGGGGCGACGGCACTTATTTCCATATTTTAAATCGACGTCACCATTTTGCTTCCGTGAAATAACGAAAATATCTCACGACCTACGAATTATTGTAATTTGCCTAGACAAGATGGTTTCTTTCCTTGTTACTTTTCTTGACCTCCATCCAAGATGCGCCGGAGTTTCTCTTGACACCTCTCAGTAGAGGTCATACGTGCTGCTGCTGGAGCCGTTGAAGCGAGCGATGCTTGATGTGAAGACCGAGATGTGCTACGGCAACCAGACCTTTGTGGTGTCGTATAATGCGGAGACGCAGAGAACCATTGGTTATCCTGCTGCATTGGCAAACTCGCTATAGAACCCGACGAATTATTGATCTCTCCTAGAGGGAAAAAGCAAAGAAAGCAACAGGCTGGATAATTGTTAGCAACTGTTGCTTTGCTAGTCGTAGACATTATCAACACCAAAACTGGTAGAGCTTTGGATTTCGGTGTCATTTCATTGTTGTTGTTGTTCAGCGTTGCGCACCAGGGTCTGGGAAGCAAGCCAGTTCTGAGGCTTGGTCACGGTACCTTCTCGTGATATAGGCAACGACTCCATCAGCGAGATTGCTGTGGACGCGCACAAGGCAATCTCCCCCGAGTCCACGCCGAAAGACGGCTTCGCCACCTACATCACCTTTGCGCCCAACATCGACCTCTTTCAAGAAAGGAGGCGCGGAACTGGCCCAACGAAACCGGGATACCGGAGACATCCCAACCGACTGGCTTTTGGCTTTCCCTTTTCTGGGGCCAGACGACGCCAAGAGCCCGGGGTAGAGCTCGGGCAAATATGGGGATGGTACACCAAAATATTTGCTTTGAAGGTTGTGGGGTTGCCGTTCCTGTGTCGCCCTCAAACCCAATCCCGAGCATCTTGTAATTGGATCTGCTGTAGCTTCCAGCCGTTTCTGAAATCCAGGAAAAGTGTCCATTGAACAATTTGGCACCCCGCTGTAATTTCAACCCGCAGGCCGTGGATTTGCCATGACCCTCGATTTTCCAGAGACTTCACTCAGGTCCCGGAGCATGAAGGAAGAGGCCACCGCCTTTCCCTTCTGCGTGGAGGCTCGCCTGCTCAACGCCTCCGGGGACTTGTGCCTCGGAGACGTGGCTGCTAGGTTCGCCCAACGACTCAGGAACCCCCTAATTGGTGGCTTGGATTGTTGGGAATTTGAGGCGGTTCTCGTTGGTTGTGAATGGGAAACCACCCCGAACCTCCAAACCGCCTATTTAAGAGAGCCTAAACATTGGGGGAGGTGACCTGTGGAATTCCAGTTTCATGTTCATATTCCCTTTGAATAGAATAGAATAGAATAGAACATTGAATTTCAGGGCCACCCCCTTGAGGTATGGAGGATACGTAAATCGAGGGGTCTTGTCTTGGAATACATTGAACTAGGCTTGCCGCGCCAATAGCACATGCTCATGTAAAAGGATTGTCTATATGTGTTTCTATGCATAATATACTATTACACACGCATATTTGTTTATGTATGTATATATATGTATATATTTAGTCCGCCTCCCGTAATCTACCTTTTGCTTTTTGTAGTCCTGTCACATAGTTCTTGTGTGTTCTACAAGTTGTAGACTGGAAGATGACAGTGTGTGTGCAGAATCCCTGACCGGATTGTGGTCTCCGGGGCCATTCCACGATATGTTGGGCGTGCCAAAAAGCATGCATGCATTACACTTGCAAAGTGTAAGTGCAACGTTTTCCACGGTTTTGGGCATGCGCAACCCCATATGCATGGTCGACAAGAACTTTGAAATTGCATTTTCCAGTTTCTTTTTTGTGTGTGTGTCGTGGTTTGCGCCAACTGCGCCATCAACTCATGAAAACGGCCAGGTGCTGCAGGAGAAAAAAGTCATCGTTTGTGAGGAGTAGAAGGCAGCCCACATGCTGCTGTTCAAAAGCAGGTTGAAACACACAGCAACTACCAGCGCCAACTGAGCAATGCCCAGCTTGACACCAGGACTTGTTCACTCGTTTGGGCTTCCCTTTTGCTGGCAGAAGCTGAGAGAATTGTGAGAAGGCAACAGTTTAAGCATTCTGCCCCACATCCTGCAGACGGGGGAGCTGCGCGTTGTAATAGTTGTATTTGGCGCTGTGTTTCTTTTGATGTTGGGTAAACTTGTCAGGTGAAAGGATTTGGGATACTTTTGAGACATATGCGCGTTCCCTCCCTCCTGCAACCCCTCGTGGAAGGCGACTTCACCTGCAATGTTTGCGTGCGGATGGGCAGATGTTGGCACCCCAAGTGTGTTCCTTGGCGCACTGGTCTGGGAAACACATCTGTGCCATTTGGCCCGTCAAGAACCAGAGCCCCGCAAACATCGACCTTGAACAAGGCTTCTCAAGCCTAATTCATGCGTGTGTCCTGGAAGCCAGGTCCCGCAGGGCGCTGGCTGCGCCATGGCTCCCTGTGGATCTGCAAGTCTGAGACAACGTCAGCCGGAGCCACGTCGGCAACAGGCTCCCAAACGCCCGAGCAGCGGCGCTCCAACATGCCCACGCATCAAGCAAAAAAGGCTGGCGTGCTTCACTGCCCTGCGCCGCTGGAAATTGAACAAGCGCTTCACGTGAACTCTGCCGCTCCGCTCGGCTGGGGATAAGAGGGGTAGCACAAGGTAAACGCAGCCTGCGCAGTCAAACTCTCAAATGTTCGCCGCAAAGGTTTCAAAAAGTCGGCCTGTTCATTCAGCCTATCCTTCCTTCCGCCCCTGCGCAAACTTTGGCCGGAGTGCGTTGCTCGGTCTGGTGCGCCTGTCAGGCCTGCCGCCCACGCCAGTTTCACGGCTGTCCTGTCACCGTTGCTTTCCGGCTGCTAGTCTGTTATAGCGGCGCTGGCGCCAAGCCAGTTCCACATATCCTTTCAGGGGCTGCCCCGCAGCCACGTTGTCAACAAGCGTCTGCGGAGAGCTTGGCAGGAAGCATGCCCGCGTTTGTTCTTTCCTTGGTCGGCTCTTCCAAAAAGCGTAATCCGCAGCATCTGCGATGAGGACAGGAGGCGCAGGGGCAGCGGCAGGCTTTCTTGAGTCAGGCCACGCCAATGCCGTGGATCGCCGTCGGCGCACAGGGCCAACCAACCGCCATTGCAGAACGTGCGGAGCGTCAGGCTCAGCGCTATAGTGCTAGCAACTAGCCAGCTGCAACCCAATCCCGCGCATATTCCACTCAATGCAGTCGCCGCTATTCTTCCTGCACTGCTCGCAGCGCGCTTTCTGCCAGCTCTTTGCCCTGTTGAGCGTCCCGCAGCTGATTCTCCTTCAGCTCCTGGTCCTGCTGCGCTGCGCGCAACTTGCTCGTGGCTGTGTCCCTCTCATGCTGCATCATCTCCACGCCCTCCCGGCGCAACTCACTCTGCAAGAATTCCGTCTCGGCGCCCGCCGCGATGAGCTGCCGCGAGGGCGCATGAGCTTTCTCAGCCGCAGTCTCCACTGGCGGCTGCTGAATTGGCGGAGGCTCCAGCGGGCAAAGGTGAGGGCTGGAACCAGACTCTCAGTCGTCAAGCGACACACACACACACACAGAGACACACACACCAAGACGCACACAAAAAACCACGCAACACACGCACTAGCACACACATACATACACACACACACACACACCCACACACCCCCACGCACGCACGCACACCCACACCCACACACACCCACGCACGCACGCACGCACGCAGGCAGCCACGCACGCACGCACGCACGCACGCACGCACGCACGCACGCACGCACGGAGACACACACACACGCACAAACACACAAACACAAAGACACACAAAAACACATGCACGCACGCACGCACGCGCGCACGCAGGCAGCCAGCGCGCACGCGTGCACGCCCGCGCAAGCATGGCATGTCCTTGACAACATCACAGGGCCTCACAAGAAAAAGCCGCTCTTGCCGAAGCCGAAGAGAAGGCAACATGCGTTTCTTTCGGGGAGGCAACATGCATTTCTTTCGGGGCGGCAACAAGGCAACCAAAAGGCCTGGCGGCCAAAGGATTGTTTAGAACCTAGCACCGCTGCGGGAAACACGCTGCAGGCAATGCTTCCCAAGTAGATTCCCAAGCCTGTTGACAGCTGTGCAGTAAGAACCGCTCTTGACGCACACCTGTAGGGGGGTAAACTTCCATTGCAGGCAAGTTCCAAAAGAAGCCCAGTGGGTTACTGGAAGACCCCCCGTTCGGAACAAAACCAATGCCCTGAAAAGAAACGCGCAGCGAAGGAGAACCGACTCCAAAAGCGCAGCAACTTGCCGACAAGCAAAAAAAAACGGAAACCGCACAGACCCCAAAGTCCCGGAGCCTTGGCGCGACCCCTTGTGAAGCGCTGCCAGCACCGCCAGCACCGCTGCTTGGCTTGGATGTCTTGAGCGAGGGTTGGCCAAAGTTTGGGCTGGGAAAACGACTCCACATGGCGCTCCATCTATCAAAGATCTTGCGGCGCAACGCGAGTAAACGAAGTAAACGGGAGTGCGACAACAGGTTTTCTCCGACCTTCTTACCACTAGAGCTTTCCACAGGACGCGTTGCTGCAAGATCCCCCCCCCCAAAAAAAATCATCGCGCAATGCCTAATATTGCCGGGAAAAGCCGAAATTCAAACAGGAGCCGTCGCTCTTGAAACCCCAGGAGCAGGGGCAAGAACCTGCACGCGTGCGCGCGCGTGTGAACAAGCATGCACGCGCAGCGGCGGTAGCATCCCTGCCCCTGCGCACTCATGACCGCAAGCCTTCACCCGTGAGCCTGTGCTGCAAGCAGGATTTCAGCCACCCTCCGGCTGGCCAGCTCCAACACTCGCAGGCACACGTCCTGCTTGCTCTTTGCAGCCAGCAGAGTTCCAAACCTTGGGGCTCCTGAAATTTCCGCACACTACCCCGAAGAAAACTCACTTGATTGGACTCGGCTAAAGAAGGATTGTTCAGACCACACCAAGGAGAAATGCCAGCAATCCTGCGCCCAGAGAAGGGCTGAGCCAGGTAACCCTAAGCTTGTGGTTTAAGTCACTGCTTTGGAAGCGAGGAGGCAGGGCGCGAGGGACAAGCGGGGCTTCCGGGAACCCAAAGACACGAAACAAGGCTGCAAGAAAAGGGACTTTGATCCGGGCTCTAGGTAACCTGCGGAAATTGGGCAGCAAAGTTAGGTCCTTGATGACGGTCACTCCAAGCTGGAGTGAGAGCCTTGACGACAAGGGACAGGCTTGGCGCGCGAACGCGTCAACGTGCGCGGTGTGAGGCTGCTGTCCCCAGATCAAGACTCAGCAGCAGGGCGTCACCACGTTGCGCCTGGCAGCATTTCCTTGCCCATGACTATGAACTTGCGTTACGTTTTTGGGCAGGCGCCTTCAGCGCGCCAAGTCCGCCTTATGCCTTCATGGCTCTTTGGCCGAAATTGTTGCAGTTTGCCATTCGCGGCGCTCAAGCAGAAAATTGGTACTGGCAGCATCGTCAGTCGGAAATGCCAACCCTCATCCTGGGCGCTAACGCTGCGCTGGCAGACAATTGGTATGTGGCTGCCACCAGGGCAAAAGGGCAGTGGGTGAGGTGAAAGAAAATCAAACGAAAGGGGGCAAACAGTTTGCCCCGCTCGAAGCAGGTCGGGCTCCAAAATCAGGGAAACGAACGGTCTTCTCCCGAAGCCCGTGACAACTTCCCACAAGGCAAACATGACATGACGGAAACTTGCGCCACCCATTGCCGCCCTTCACGCTCCGCCAGGTCCTCTTCGGAAGCGACGTCGCTCCGCGGCCAGGCCAGCCATTGTCGTAAGCCTGCTGGCACACGGAAGTTTCGGGGCGTCCTGGCGCAAAGCCCCCCGAGCACGGGCTCGGTGACGCTGTGGCTAGCCGCAAATTGACTGCTTACGCCAAACTCGAATGCGCTCTGTCCTGCAAATCGTTCCCGTAAACGTACTGGTTGCTCCATAAGACGTTCGGCCGCGTGTCGCGTAGGCCAAACGGGTGATTCGGAAACTGTGCCCCCCTTTCGTTGAATTTTCTTTCGTCTCACTAGCCCGTCCCCTTCCTGCTGCACGCTGTGGTAGCGCAGCGGCTTTTCCACAGATGTTACTATGAAGATCGCCACGACGCAGCGCTTGCCACGAGTACGCTGCAAGCCAGGCGGTAGCACCTAGGATGAGTGTTGGCGTTTCCGACTGATGACGCTGCACCAAATCTCCTGGATGAGCAGCAAGGCGGAGTCGTAAATGGCAAGCTGCTACTGACAGCCGCCCGCCCCTGCGCACAGCCCAGCCATTCAAATTTTCCGCGGCGCTGCGTTCCACCTGACAATTTCGGCCAAACAGCCATGAACTTTGTGCTTCAAGCTTCAGGCCACTACTGCCACCGCACGCTCGCCTGCAGCCACATTGCCGCGGAGCGCAGCGCGTGTCTGATGCATTGAGCCGGGGTAGCGTTCCCGATGACTTCTGGCGCGAGCGTGTTGCTGAGTGCTTTCTGCGCCGTGGTCCTCAACCTTGGTTGGGGCAGATGATGGGTTTTCAGGCCCACCTCTTGAGCTCACCCAGCTGACAGACCCAACCGCAGCCTGCTGCCTGTGCTGAGGGGCCTGTGTGAGCTCTGCACATTGATGAAAAGCAAGAGGGCGTCACCCAGTTCCCAGTGTGTTTGGTTTTCCCTCATTTGTTTATCCCTCGCAAAAACAAATCACTCGAGCAACAACAAAAAAGCTTTCCTTTTTACGGCCAGATGCCCACAAACCAGAACAACCAGGACTTCTTCGGCAAAGGCCACAACCCCAAAACAGCCTCCATAAAACCCAAAACAAGGTAGATTCCCCCCCTTTCCGGGATGCTTCTAGGTTTTCTCAAGGTCTTTCTTGGTTGTGTGGTTTCCCCCCCCCCCCGAGTTACTTTAGTTTTTGCCTTGCCCCTCCCAAACCAACAGAACATCGTGTTTTTGAGTTGTTCCTACTGCAGAAAGCCAACAAAGCACACATGTTTTGTTGGTTTGTGGGCATTGCCCATCTAGTTTTGTTTGAGATTTGCCCCCTCATTTCTTGATGCAGGTGTGACCATAAATGCACACTTGCTTCGACACGCATCGACATCTTGTGCACAGTCAGCGGCCTCAGTCTAGATTAGACTGGAAAGAGGAATCTCTTACAACTAGGACTTGGGAACAGATTTCAATAAGGACAGAGTTGAGTTCCAATCTCGATTGTGAGGCAGAATTCAGCAACTGGCTTCAAATTCTTGGCCCAAGCATCATGACAAGAAGGCTCCTTCTAAGGCTGCTCAGAAGGCACCATACAGCTTCTTCTCCCTCCTTGTCAAGCTAGTTTGCAAGATCTCATGAAGCTCCTTTTTCTCCTTGTCCTTGCGCAAATCCTTCTGGAGCTGCCTGCAAACCACCTTTTCTTTCCAAACTGAGAGTTCCAAGAGGAACTGATTCCCAGCCATGATTTTCGTGCTGTTGTTTGTTAAGCAGAAGTTAATAGGCACAAAATTTAAGTAGACTTTCAAAGTTACTTTGGAAGCTAACTATGTTTCCTTTTCCACGAGGATTCCGATTCATTTAAGTAGAGCTTGAATAGATTTCAGTAATTGAAAGCTACAGATGGAACAGAACACGCAATCAACTGGAATTTGAACAGGGTATAATGAGAATAAATGAGGGAACTTTTCTGTCGTGAATGAGGGATCAAAAAGAGACCCCCTTCCAAACATGACTTCAATTGTACAACAACCGAAGCAGAATTTAACAGGCAAGGGGGTTAACCAGAATTTTGGCTTTCAATATGAGTTCCAAATTGGTTCTTAAGTCTTATTCGAACTGGAAATCGCACAGAACGCAATACAGAACAGGTAGGTCACGAGGAGCTGAGCGTATATACATATATACTTTTAAGCAAGGATGTATATGTACAAGCATGTAGATAAATATATATATATACATATATACGCAAGCAAGAAGCATAAAGACACATCTAGAAAACTGGCAAGGTCATGAGATCCAGTCGGCATAGGTATGGTGACCCCTCCATGCAACCCCTGGCCACACAGCTGGTGAAGACTGCCGCGGCCACGGTGGGGCGGCAGGACGCCACTAGCTGCCAGGAGCTGCAGGACAGACGGCGTGCGCAGTTGCGGCAATGGTTGTGGGGTAGGTTGTTTGTTTTTCTCACAATAGTGGTCTGTTTTTCTACAATGGCAAGTGCTTCACCAATGTTTTTGTTAGTTTCCTTTTTTGCTTTGTTCTATTTTGAAGAGCAACCAAAAGCGGGTCCACCATTTTGAGGACTACCTCTGCAGGTCAACAGTAAGGGCTTTGGGCGCCGTTCATACGTAACCAAAAAACACGGTTTGGTGGAGCTCCTTTTCAGGGGGTCTTCTTCCGAGGGATGTTGCTGGATTTGGTGATCCAATTTGCAAATGATTTGTTTTCTGGATGTATGGTCAACTTACATCGCTTTGCTGATTAAGCCAGAAAGGTAAACCTGTGGTTACCTTTAAACCACACTAAGGGTAAACAGTGAGGCTTCCCAGTTTCCAGCTTAAAGGTTCTGTGCATGCTGCATTGCGGATCATCCACATGCCAGACGGTCGTGGCTTCCCTTGTTGTAGCGTTTCTGCTCCTCTGCAGAAAAGCTGTCCTCCCATCCACTGACATGGACGACATGGACCCTAGCAATCCCTTTAGAGCAAATGGTCTTCAGGACCCCCTTGTCAAGTTCCATGTTAGTGGGTGCGAGGGTAGAACATGCATCCTAAAACCCACCTACTGCAGAGGAACCTCGTTTTGGCCCTCCCTTGCTGGGGTCCATCTCAGTTTGCAGATGAGGAATCCAAAAAGAGTCACTGTTACCTCCAAATGTAAAAGGAAACGGTCTCTGTTGACCGTTCGGGTAAGCAAAGGGAATCAGGACATGTGCCACCGCCTGGACGCCCGACTCTTGCGCTTGGTCTGTGGCCAAACCTGTGACTTGCTCAAAACCTAAACCAACGGTGTCCGAGGTTTGATGTGTTGCTTGGTGGCGGCTCTGGTGTTGAAACGGGGACCGCCACACTTGGTAAGGGGGCATGAAATCAACCCGACCTTTCTCGTTGCCATGTACAGTTGGTCCAAAACACGGTTGTTGGGTGTGGTTGATAGGCCCAATCAACTGCCAGTGAATGTTGTTGACGGGTCAAAACAATTCTTGTTGGGGCGACAGACGACAGACAACGAAATTTCCGTTGTCGGGGGCCTCCATTTCTGTTGAAACCAATCTCCCAACTTCGGGCGGGGCCCGAGAAAGATTTGTTAAACTGAATGGAAGCACTAACCTCCAGAAAAAAGTCGGCTTGAGGTTCAACATTCTCGGACTGGGGTTGGCCCAGTTATGTTGCTTGGACCATGGGCCTCAATGTATTGAAAGCGAGGTTGAAACAAGGAAGCAAGGTCTCTTACAAACAGCTTAGTTTGCGACAAAACTTTGCGCTTTGGATAGTTTGAGGGATTGTCTGAGGAGGGGGCAACGTGGCCTTGTAACATTTGATCCTAGGTTTATATATTTGTTAATCCCCCCCAAGCTGCTTTGCACACCGACGAGACAGAGAATTGCCAACGAACACACATGTGCACTTTATCGAGCCTACCTCGAAAGAAAACCAGCTCACCCCTGATGAAGGTTGTTTTCTGGAGGATCCCCTGAATCCAGTTGCTGAATTTATGGTAGTTTGTCAATTTACAGTGTCCCACATTGCCGGCCCCCATCCACTTCACCGTACGCTCCAGTTGCCCACCCTGACTCCTTTGAGCCCCGCCCACCAGCCTCACACCCAGATCCGTTGTTTCAAGAATCTTCCAGCCCCATACCTGAACATTTTGCTTGTCAATATGTGTAGTTTGGGAACTTTGCGTGAGGTAGCTTCTTGTTGGGCTGGCGACCCCTCCTGAACCGATTGTTTCCGAAAAGGGACCTTCCAACTCCCAGGCCCAACACCCGAGCTCAGACCCCACTCACGTCCACGTTTTGCTCCCACATCCTGTCGCTTGGCGCTTACGGCCAATCGCAAAACCCCTGCCTGGAAGGTTTTGGACTCTTCGAAGGGCTCTGTTGGTTACCGAGGTGAATGCACGGACCCCTTCAGCTCGCCCTGGTACAAGACAGAGGCGCAGGGTTGCTCCTCCACGTGTTTGCGCCTTGCGCGTCGCAACAAGCCCAACAACCACTGCGAGGATGTGACCCTTGGCTTGGAAGAAGAGGGAGGGGGGGGAGTGTTTGCCTCACACAAAAAGGAAAACCACCCTGGTAAGTGGTCTTAGAAGGGGGGACCTATCATAGATTGGCAAAGCCCCGTTTTTATTGAAGGCCGAACACAAAGGGAAATGGGAAGGGCTTTCCCGTGTCGGAAATGCATCCACGTTTGACCAGTTTTCAGAGGGAAGCCAAAACGCAGCGAGAAAAGATAGCGTGTGGGCCTTTTTGCAGCAACATCCCTTTGGCCTTTGGGTACTTCCCGAAGCAATTTTTGGGGAAGCGCTGCTTCGTGGCTAGGTTCCCCAGAGGTGCTCGTTTATCCCTTTTTGGGGAGGGTTCCCCTGCTAGAATAGACTACAGGAAAAAGGGGTACCCTTATTCTAACCTCTCTACTGGAGGACAGGAGAGCTGAGGTCGGCCTCCCACGCGGGCTGGCGGAACTTCTGGGCCCGGTACCCGGACGTGGCGGCGGCCTACTTCGAGGGCGCCCAGTCCAGCCAGCACGGGCCCATCGTGAACCAGACGATGTCCAGGACAGCGTGTGTATATGTATTGTATATGTATTGTATATATATATATATATATTATGCATGTATGTGTATATATATATATATATACATATGTGTGTTCATATATACTGTACATGCACGAAAATTATTTTTCATTTTTTGTCTGTCCATGTTTACATTCTCTCTATATCTCACATCTACGAAGTCGACATCTGATTGTGTATTAATGCTAGCATCACTACAAGTATTAGTGTTATTGTCACAACTATTTAATGGCCTGCGGCCTGGTTCCGCCGCCCCCACACACCTTAGAATTTCGGCCCGGGACGAGAGAAAGCACGCGATATGTAGACAGACACAGACAGACACAAAGACACGCAGACAGACACGCAGCGAGGGGGGGAGGGTCTTCGCGGACACGAAGACAGACGCAGATGCGCAGGCAGACGCAGACAGAGCCAGACAGACACAAATACACAGACAGACACGCGGGGGGGGGGGACACGAAGAAAGACGCAGATACGTAGACAGACACAGACAGACACAGACAGACACAAAGAGACAGAGACAGACACGCAAGGGGTCTTCGCGGACACGAAGACAGACGCAGACAGACCCAGACAGACACAAAGAGACACAGACAGACACGCAGGGGCAGGGGGGTCTTCGCGGACACGAAGACAGATGCAGATACGTAGACAGACATAGACAGACAGGGGGGGGGCGGAGGGGTGGGGGAAGACTACCCGAACGAAGCCTAGGGAAGAAGCCCGAAAGCACAGGACACGCGCGTTGTTTGGTCCCGAAACAGTATCAGAAGACTAGGAGAAGAAGCCGGAAGATTACGGAAGACTGCGGGAAGAAGCCGAAAGATTGCGGAAATTTACGGGAAGAAGCTTGAAAGATTTCGGAAGACTACGGGAAGAAGCCGGAAGACTACGGAAGACTACGGAAGACTACGGAAGACTACGGGAAGAAGCCGGAAGACTACGAAAGACTACTGGAAGAAGCCGAAAGATTACGGAAGATTACGGGAAGAAGGCGGAAGACCACGGAAGACTACGGGAAGAAGCCGGAGGAAGACTACGGGAAGAAGCCGAAAGATTACGGAAGATTACGGGAAGAAGGCGGAAGACCACGGAAGACTACGGGAAGAAGCCGGAGGAAGACTACGGGAAGAAGCCGAAAGATTACGGAAGATTACTGGGAGAAGCCGGAAGACTACGGAAGACTACGGGAAGAAGCGGGAGGAGGGGGGGAGGGGAGGGGGAGGGGGGGGGGGGGAGGGGGGGGAGGGGGGGAGGGGGGGGGGAGGGGGGGGGGGAGGGAGGGGGAGGGGGGGAGGGGGGAGGGAGGGGAGGGGGGGAGAATCCAGAGTCCAGAGATCCAGAAATCCAGAGATCCAGAAATCCAGCAATCCAGAAATCCAGAAATCCAGAAATCCAGCCGACGTAGAAACCAGCCCCAAGGTATCTACATAATCATATTCACATTGAACTTATAGAAAGCATATCAACAAAAGCAACACAGAACACACCGCCCCCATGCCGAAAGCATGGTCCATTCTGGACCAAGCATGGGGTCGGCGGATTTGTTGTTACTTGTTTTGTGTTTCATTGCCATGCTTTATTGTTGTTGTTCTTGTATAAGACAGACTGCAGCACACCTACTGTAACTCCAATAGTGGTATCTTGCAAATGTTTGAACAAAGCTACACGCATTTTGCCAAGCGGAACCAAGAGGCGCACCCGGCAAGCGGCTTGGAATGAGCGCGAAGGAGTTATGTTACCGGTGGCAGGCTATCCTTGTCCATTTTTTGACCAACGGCCTTGGTGGGTTGATTGCACAGGGTGGGCTTGGCGGGTGCAGAGTTTCATGCGGGGACATGACACGCACAAACAACTATGGTCATGGTCCAAGCAAAAACTTCCTGACAGACTTGCCGAGTTGGCAAGCTGAACGTTGGCTTGTAGCTTCCACGGCAGCTGTCTTGGATTCGCTTGAGCAACGAAACAAGGGGCCAGCTTTTTCCGAACGGAGGGTGGCTTTCTCCAGGCCAAGGGCCCCGAAGACTTTGCAGACCCCCTCCCTCCCAAGTATTCCGTCAGTCTTAGATGATTGCTCGCCGGTTTGACTCCGGTTTATCCAACAACGGGGGTTGGCGTTTGCGCACTGAACCCTTGTGTTGTTGTGCTGTGGATTTCAGAGGATAGCTCATTAAGGTAGCAGACACACCCTGGATTTTCTGAACCATCGCACAACAACTCGGCGATTTGGGCTGATGCTCTTTCCGATTGACTGGCGGGAGTCCGCGGTCCATGCTGCCAGAGACAAGTTCAGGAGAGTTGGCCCAGACCTGGTCTTGCTTGCTCTCAGAATATGGTTGAATCACTCCACTTGGGTCGGGTTTGGCTCGCTGGCCTTACCTCGTTCGCGTACTCGGCGTCGATCGCCAGGATGCTCTCGGGCGGGTGCGAGGCCCTGAGGCGGTTCCCGACAGACGCCTTGATGGACACGGAGTGGTGCGAAGGCATGCCAGACACCCGACACGCAACCGGTAAGCCCGGAATGCTTGATTGTGATGACATGTTCCGTGTTCGTGGGGTCACTGTTGGAGAAATCCCAGTCCACCAGCCTGCACAAATTAACCTAAGATGAAAAGCGGCCACTGTCAACTGAACTTGGGGACACCTTGTTGGAAAGCGCTGGAAGAGAGACCCAAGAGGAAATCAAAGGGCCACAAGTCAAGTTGCCTTTTTGTTGCCATGTGGGGATGCGGCCTCTTCCCCACTCCCGAGAGGGTCGGAAGGAAGAGCGCCGAACAAATTGCCAAACAAGGTCCGAAAAGGAGCTGTTTTGGGGCGCAGGAAGTGTCCTCTTTCGGGGCTTGCCTTTGGTGATTTCCCTGCTCGGTTCAAGATCAAGTTGACACTTTTAGAAGTGGTTGAATCCCTTTGTTCCCCTCCCCCAATAATTCGTTGCGCCGAACAGACAGTGCGCGCCAATCGCAATCACTCAGGAACGCCAAGTAAGGTCAGTGCAGGTCGATACACTTGGGACAAAGCAACACACGGAAGCTGACACACCATGGCCATTTCGACATAGAGAGGCAACCGCTGCAAGAACATCAGTGTCTTTCCAGGGGTCAGGTTGGTTGCTTTTTATGTCCAAAAGCCAGCTGTCAAATAGGGTTGTTTCTCCGTTCGGTGGAATCGCCATCCATCCGGCACAAGTGGCCTTAAAATGGGCCTCCATCTCCTCGCCAAACTCAACATAGACTACCATACTTTGGGCAGTTGCCCAAGTGACCGAACGCAGGGTGGCCACCTCACCCGAACCTCATGCGTAACAAACAACCAGACAAAACAAGACAAGACCAGCCAAAAACCAAGCAAACCATCGAACGAACCACAGCACAAGCAAGCAAGTGAGCGAGCGAGCGAGCGGGCAAGCGAGCGGGCAAGCGGGCAAGCAGGCAGGCAGGCAGACAGACAGAGACAGACAGACAGACAGAGACAGAGACAGAGACAGACACAGACACAGACACAGACACAGACACAGACACAGACACAGACACAGACACAGACACAGACAGACAGAGACAGACAGACAGACAGACAGACAGACAGACGGACAGACGGACAGACGGACAAATCGACAGACAAACAAGCAATCAAAAAAACAAGCGCAAACAAGCTTTCAAACTAGCAGACAAACAAGCAAGCAAGCAAGCAAGCAAGCAAGCAAGCAAGCAAGCAAGCAACATACCAACCTTCACTGCTATTGGGTTGGATCCTTAGACTTTAACTTTTTTGGGAAATACAGGCGTTTTGCATTAAACCTCCAAAACGTTAAACTTTTTGCAGGAGGGTCAACAGCAACCAACCAACCAACCAACCAACCAGCCAGCAAACCAACCAACCAACCAACCAACCAACCAACCAACCAACCAACCAACCAACCAACCAACCAACCAACCAACCAACCAACCAAGCAACCAGGCACAAATAAGCAAGGACAAGCAAACAAGCAAGAACAAGCACACAAACAACAGATCAGAAAACAAACAGGAACAGATGAAGAATAGCTTACGCGTAAGAGCAAACAACCAAACAAATAAACAAGCAATCAAACAGAATCAAACACACAAGCAAGCAAGCAATCAAACAAGCAAGCCAGCAAGCCAGCAAACAAGCAAGCAAGCAATCAAACAAGCAAGCCAACAAACAAGCAAGCAAGCAATCAAACAAGCAAGCCAGCAAACAAGCAAGCAAGGAGCACACGAGCAAACGAGCAAGCAAGCAGATGTGCAAGCAAGCAAAGAAACAAGCAAAGAAACAATCCAGCAAACAAACAAATAGGCAAGGGAAACAAACAGAAGTCCCAAGAAGGAGGGTGGAGAAGCGTTCCCAAGGTTCATTAGAATCCCTGGAGCCAGGAGTTTGGATTTCAGGTTTTGGCAAGTCTCTGGTTGGTTCGGCGCCAAACGAGAACAAATGCGTGTCCTGGTTTCCGCGCCTGTTTGTAGCGCCTTTCCTTTTTTTCCCGTCACTTGCTTAGCATTCTTGAAACCACGGTCGAAACAAAGAACGAAAGCTTGTCTTGCTGCTTGCAACTAAGGACCTGTTCCGGCCTTTGGCGCATTTGTGCCCCCAGAGCTGTGGCTGCAACATCTCGGCGGGAGCTGCTCTGCCGAGCTATTGCCCCATCAGCTGCAATTTCTCCCAGTAGACGGAAGTAGAGTTCGGTCCATGGGGTTCCTGGACCATGAGTAGCTTCCTCGATCAAAGGATCGGAGTTCCGCAGGAATCCAGGGCTTATTGGTCTTCGGAAGAGCGGTTGCTTTTCTTGGCGCCATTTATTTTTGACGTCCACGTCAATGCCACCGACCAGTGATCACACTTGAAAGCCATGTCACGTGCGGGAGCGCGGGAGGGTTCAAGTTGAATTGTGACACTGCGCCTGTGAGGTGTGCCAGGTTTTCAGGGCAGATCTGCTGATTTGCCTCCGCGTGCTGTGTAGCGCAGGCTTGCTTAAAGCACCGGCCGCAGAGCACCGGCTTACTGCCGTGAAAAGTTGAGCTGCTTGGGTGACAGTGACAAATTCTCACACTAATTGGGGATAGGGATGGGGGGTCAAGGGCCGAGTGTCGCACTAGATTTTGCCTCTTTGCCAGTTGTGCTTTCTCTTTCGAGAATGCCCATTTTCCCACTGACCGGCGAACTAAAGCAGGGGGTTAGGGAGCAACCAGTTGCGATGTGATCTTGCGCATGTTAAACTTGACCTTGCAAATCCACGCGAGCGGGTGAGGGGGGGAAGAGCCAAGAACCCGGAACAAAGCACCGTGCGGTGCGGTGTATCGGTCACGACGTTGCGTTCAGGCAGAGGATAGCAAGCTCTTCACGGTGAGCAACGAGGAGTTGCAGCGACTCCGCCAGGAAGAGGCGGGGTTTCCATCCCGTTGCGAGCCTTAGGAGTGCTCGCCATAAAGATGACCGAAACGCAAGGGGGCACTTAGCTTCGTTTCCTAGAACTGTTTGCAGTGTTTGCAGTGACTGATAGGTCTCTTTTTGCTCGTGGAATCACTGTGTGTGTGTGTGCTTTCAAATGAACCCTAAAAGTGTTTGGCACCTTTCCCAATGTGTTGCTTCATTCTGTCCGGCAGACTTTCACTCTGTCTCTTTCTTTCTTTCTTTCTTTCTTTCTTTCTTTCTTTCTTTCTTTCTTTCTTTCTCCCGTTCTTTCTCCCGTTCTTTCTTTTTTTATGTCTTTCTTCCTTTCTTCCTTTCTTCCTTTCTTCCTTTCTTCCTTTCTTCCTTTCTTCCTTTCTTCCTTTGATCCTTTCTTCCTTTCTTCCTTTCTTCCTTTCTTCCTTTCGTCCTTTCTTCCTTTCTTCCTTTCTTCCTTTCTTCCTTTCTTCCTTTCTTCCTTTCTTCCTTTCTTCCTTTCTTCCTTTCTTCCTTTCTTCCTTTCTTCCTTCCTTTCTTTCTTTCTTTCTTTCTTTCTTTCTTTCTTTCTTTCTTTCTTTCTCTCTCTCTCTCCCTGTCTCTTTCTCTGGAGGTGCCATAAAGTAAAATTGGTGCTCACAGGGGAACAAAAGGACGCCCACTTTAGGATCACTTTTTTTAGAAACACCCAAACGGCCCAAACTTCAAAACTTGAAAGGTGGCTGCTTTACAACCATACCCACCTGCTCCACCAAGCCAACCCCGAGAAGGGTCCAGAAGAAATTTGTTCTAACTTGTTTTCTCGGATTCCATGATTTGTGCGAAGACTTTTGCGGATGGGAAGAGTTTCAGAATCGATGCCAGGAGTTCCGGCGCCGTTATGAGAAGGACCGGGAGGAGGCGCATCTGAGCGAACGTCAACTCATAGCCATGTTAGCGGTCCTGGCTTTGAAGCGCAACCCATGTGTCGGTGTAATCGATTGCAAAGGGAAGCCGACTTTTGGAAACTTGGCACAGAGCAAGGAAATGGAGTGATTAGAGTTGGTGGAGCTCCGGTTGACCAATCAACGAGCTAAACTTGATTGCTGTCACTGCTTCTTTGGTTGTGTTGGCAGATGGTTCCATTGCTGCTCCATTTCTATTTGAGCAGCGTTCTATATATACCCTTCAATTGCAAGTGGTATTCGTGAGCAGTCGCGACGCGCAGAAGGCCGCGGAAGGGTTTGCGGAAGGGTTTGATTGCCGATTCGCAAAAGGTACGCGTAAACATGATGCAAAACAAAGGCAGAGTCCAATCTTGTCCAATCCAAAAGCAGCGACTAAGACAGCTCAGCTACAGATCTTCGTTTGCAGAGCCCTACAATTGTTCCAGGCTCAGGCAACATTGTTCGCTGCTTATGTCACATGGCTCTTGTAATGCGCAGCTGGTTCACCAGTAGTGCTGACAAGACAAAGAAGCAGCCAACGCACCCACGGAGTCTGAAAATGCCGGCGAAATCCGCGCAAGCCCCGGCATAAGCTCCGCGCAAGGGGCTGGGTGCCCCAGCTCCGGCCCATCCGGCCCATCCGGCCCAAGCCCAAGCCATGATTCCAGCTTACTCCCAGGTGTCAGCGTCAGGTTGCTGCAGCTCTTGTTTGACGCGTTTTGTCCTCCAGCTTGCGCGGATGGTAGGCGCCTTTGTCTTCCACACGAGGAAGGCTCTGCTTTTGTGGTTGCGCTGTGTTCGCGCAAGCGAAAACACAAGAACCACTCAATTGTAAGCCCGCGCAGGCGTTTGCTATGTAGACGCCACTTGCAGAAGCTACCCTCGCAGCCGTGGGTAGAAGCCCCACGTAGGCCCTCGCGAAAGGAATTTGTTAGTGTCTCTCCTCCACCCAGCAACTTAGAACAACGGTAACAGCGCTCATTTGTTGCTGGTTGTGTAGTTATCAGTCTTGGTCGTTTGATGCATGTTTGGATTTCCCGTGTTGTTTCCAATGCTTCTCAGGGTTTTACACAAAACCAAGTTGACAGGAATGTTCGGGGCATTCGCCCCGATTTGGAGAAGCCCATTTGTGGCTGCCACTTCCCGGCAAGGCCTCAGATCAGGAGCCAGAAGTGGCGGAGGCGGAGGAGCAGATAGATCGCAGAAAGTCCGAGGGGTCAGACAGGTCTCCTTTAGTGGCGTTCCAATCAACGAGGTCCCCCAGTAGTGCCCTTTCTCTCCCCTTTTTTGGTTGGTAGGGTTCCCCTACTAAAAAGAAATCTGCAGAAAAAAGGTGGGCACCAGTATTCTAACCTCTCGAATCTGGAGGACCTAGTCAAGGTTGTGGATTCGGATTAGCTGCTGCATTGTGAACAGCTCATCTTTTGGGCGGTTTGAAACATCACCTTTCCACAGGAGGACACAGACAAGAAGCGGAAGGCAGGGTGTCCAAGGGGCGGATTGGCGCTGGATGCGTGACCCAAGACACGCTTCAATCGGTATCTGGTTTTGAGATGTGAATCTCCTTGTGGATGGTGTTCAAAGTTGTGATCTTTGTGACGCCAACATGGACAAATGAGCATTATTCATTGCAGCCTTGAAGGGAAAACAGGGGCCATAAGTATTCCTGAGGTCCATGTTACTCTACAGCTAATTTTGTGAATGAGGTTTCCGTTATTCCTTCCTTCCTTCCTTCCTTCCTTCCTTCCTTCCTTCCTTCCTTCCTTCCTTTCTTCCTTCCTTCCTTCCTTCCTTCCTTCCTTTCTTCCTTTCTTCCTTTCTTCCTTTCTTCCTTCCTCTTCTTCCTTTCTTCCTTTCTTCCTTTCTTCCTTTCTTCCTTTCTTCCTTTCTTCCTTTCTTCCTTTCTTCCTTTCTTCCTTTCTTCCTTTCTTCCTTTCTTCCTTTCTTCCTTTCTTCCTTTCTTCCTTTCTTCCTTTCTTCCTTTCTGCCTTCCTTTTCCGCCTCTGCCTTCCTCTTCCGCCTTACCTTCCTGCCTTCTTGTGTTGCCGCCTTCCTTCCTGCCTTCCTGCTTGCCTCCTCCATGTTTCAATTGCCCTGTTTCTTCTTTCCTCCCTTCTTTCCTCCCTCCCTCCAGCCCTCCCTCCCTCCCTCCCTTCCCCTCCCTTCCCCTCCCTTCCCCTCCCTTCCCCTCCCTTCCCCTCCCCTCCCTTCCCCTTCCTTCCCCTCCCTTCCCCTCCCTTCCCCTCCCTTCCCCTCCCTTCCCCTCCCTTCCCCTCCCTTCCCCTCCCTTCCCCTCCCTTCCCCTCCCTTCCCCTCCCTTCCCCTCCCTTCCCTCCCTTCCCCTCCCTTCCCTCCCCCTCCCTCCCCCTTCCCCTCCCCCTCCCTTCCCCCCTTCCCCTCCCTTCCCCCCCTCCCTTCCCTCCCCTCCCTTCTCCTCCCTTCTCCCTTCCCCTCCCTTCCCCCTCCCTTCCCCTCCCTTCCCTCCCTTCCCCTCCCTTCCCCTCCCTTCCCCCTCCCTTCCCCCTCCCTTCCCCCTCCCTTCCCCCTCCCTTCCCCCTTCTGCTCTTCCCTCCTTCCTGCCTCCCTTCCTGCCTTCCTCCCTTCATCCCTTCCCCCCTTCCTCCCTTCCTCCCTTCCTCCCTTCCTTCCCTCCCATCCCTCCCCTCCCTCCCTCGCTTCCCTTCCTGCCTTCCTGCCTCCCTTCCGTTTTCCTTTTTTCCTGTCCTTCCTTTCTTTACGTTCCTTCTTGCAAGTGTTTCTGCTTCCCTTCCTCCCTGCCTCTCTTTATGCTCCTCTTGTTCTACTCGCGCAGTACTTGTAGAGGAAGTGTCAGAAAATACAAGCTGCTGGAAAACGACAGGGGACTCTCAAACTATGTAGCGAAACAACCATGCCTCATATGGTCGTCGCTTCCTCCAGTCCAATGCCCTCCGGGGGCGGCTGTTGGCATTGCCAGACAGCCCCACTTTTGGCGGGTTGGTGCGAATGTAACCTCCGTTGGAGAAGCCTGAGTTTGTTGGGTGCCACACGACACCATTCCTTTTATTTTGCAAGGAGCCACCAAAAGTAGTCTATGGGCCACGTGCCACTGCCAGGCTGAGGACGCCGTCGGAGGCAGTTGCGTGCAAAGGGGGACGCAGGTGTGCACCTCCCCTAAACCACTCCGAGAGAACCCAAGAGTCTTCAGTTCGTTTGAGGAGCTCGGTGCTTTCTGTTTACTAGTGGCTTAGAACTGCTTGGTGCTGGTTAGTCCTGGTTGAGGATTGCTCCCAGTACTGGTTTGATGTTGGTCTGGCATTGATTCATTTCATTTTAATGATAGTGCTTTAGTATTGGTTTGCTTTTGGTTGAGTATTGCTTAGTGTGGGCAATACTGCTCCAGTGGAGCCGCTTGGGAAGCAAACACTTCCATGGAACCATGGTCTTGGAGAACGCCTTGTTGCCCAAGCACCCGCTCGGGTTTCCTTGGCAGCACGTGGCCCCTTCGAGCGTCAGGCGAAGGCTTGGAGGAGCCAGAGCAGAAAGTGGCCAAGCGCCGCGCTCGGGCAGGTTGGAACCCTCAAATGGGTTGGCAAAATTGGGGGAGGGGGGGTCACGGAGCCAAAAATAATGGGTTTCCAACGGTCTGGCTCGGCGCCGAGGACCCAGGAGGATGGGCAAGAAGACGATGACTGAGCCTCGCCGCATTTCAGGCCGAGGGCTGGGCGTGAGGATTCCAGCTTGTCTCAGCAGCGGGTTGAATGGTGCTGGCGCTTGGAAAGGTTGCCTTCTTTGGCCACATTGGTGTTCTAGTCCTTGTCTTTGCACATGTTGTTAGTGTTGCGTGGTCGTTGGCATTTCTTCGGAAGGGGGGCCCCGTTGATCATAAAGAGATTAAGTGCTGTTGGTTTACCCGTGTTTCCCTCAAGAACAATCTGTGTTCCAGCCTGCTCAATTCCGACATTGTTGGAGATGGTTGAGGGAATAAGCTTTCCCGTGAGACCTTTCCATGACTGCTTTATCACCTCTAAAAACGGTTCCCTTGGTATCACAGACAGTGGCCCTCAAACTCAATTTCCACGACCATGCAATTGGACTTACCTCACACCAGCTCAGAAAACCTGAGTGGGTGGGTTGGGGGCGGGGGAACATGCAACTTGTTCACTTATGTGTCAAATCTGGTAGAACTGTACCTCGATAAACGACATGGACAGGCCCAGTTGAACAAATTACTTGTTAAATCTGTTCTACAGAAATCTGGAAGCCACGCGCATCGCCAGGCTGCGTTCAAAATCATAGCCGGGCTCACGCCATACCCACAGACACGCTGCAAACTTCAGCTATCAACATTGTCAAAATCGAAGTATGCAGCTCAAGCAACAGCACATGTCGTGTACCCGCCGAGAAGTGTCCTGAGTCTGAATGGAACTTCTCCCAGAGCATCCACCCTTTTTCAATGGAAACTTGAAGGGATTCCCCATAAAGAACTAAGGTTCCACCAAAGACCAGCCACTTTTCAATATGACCAAGCCACACCTCCTTGGGCCATCGAGCCCGCCAACTTTGTCGGCTGCATCGTTTGGCAGCGCCCTCTCAGATGTGCGCCCGGGATCTAATCGAAGTGGCGGCTCTCCAGTCAGGGAAGTTGGCGAGAGGGTTTTGGCAGCTGTTTTTGTCTGTTGAAGTGATGGGCGAATTGTGAGCACTAACATCTGGCCTGGGCTGGACATAGGTGATGGCAGGACCCATCCACAACCCCCACCCCCCTATCGCACAGATATCTGAAACCGTTGAATTTCTGCGTTCGATTGAGAGGCGGATCGAATCGCCAGGCCAAAGGTTGCCTGACGGCGAGGACTACACACGCGGACCGAAAAATAGCGCTCGACGTGTTGGCCGAAGGTGTCGAACTCCTTGCAGCCTTTGCTTTTTTGGATGAAGTGGTAACACACTTGGAAACATCCAGGAGTAATCCTATTTGCACTATGCCCTAACATACAGCGGATCATGAGGCGCAACTGGAAGTCGTATGGGAGGTCTGGAACATCAACATCTACGTCCCCTTGTAGCTTCCTTGAGGGGCCACCTCGGCCGCCAGGTCTTCCCAAAACGCAGTGCTGATTGAGCCAGCAAAGTTCAAGAGCACCAAATCAAATGGTTCTCATAGACTGATGTGTGGGTTTGGCGGTTTTCCTAGACAATACTGATTAAGCCAGAACCCCATGGTTGGCGCGTCCCCTCACGAGCTTCCACAGAACAGCTGGTATTTGACGACATTTGTTGGCTCGCCTGGGCAATCGCTCAATGCAGCTTTCCTCAAGCGGAGAACGCCTCTGGGAGTGCGCAAGGAAAGAGCTGGCCTAAGAACGCCTGGACATGGATCTGGCAAAAGCGTTTCAGCGCAAGGTGGCGATTTCCCACTCCGCTCCAAGCAATGGTTGCTGAACACGTGGTCTCAAAATAGGAGTTGCTTGGGATTGAAACCGGCAGGGTTCAAGCGAGTCGTCAAGGGGCTGCCCCGCCTTGAGGCATTCGAAGTATCTCTCTTGTGGCACCGACATGTCACTTATGTTGGTTCATGTGTTTCAGGGGAAGAGCTGCAAGAGCCGAGGGGCCATTGCTAACGCAAGGCTTTCAAGCACGGGTTCGGCCCTCACGTGACGATGTCGGGCCTCTCCGAGCGCGAAGCTTTCCAGCGGGACGGTTTTCTGAAAGTTGAGCCTTGGTTGGAGACGGCTACGTGGGGTTTTCACCTCAAGCGAATCCAATGAGAGGAGCCTGGGAGGTCCTGGAAAGCCACTTGCCTTTCAAAGGGACCAACATGTTGCAAGGACTGGGTTGGGATACTGGAATGATCAGGTGACGGGTAGGAACGCAGATAGGAAGATGGCATCTGCGGAACTGCATTTTGGCCAGCTGCCAAGACTAGTCCTTTTTGGACGAGAGCCACAGGAAGCCAACACAAGAACATTCTGAGCAAAGGTTTGGTGATGCATACCCTGCATGAACGGAACGCTAGACTTGAATTGTAAATCCCGAGCCCCAAGTTGCGCAAGTAGTCACTTTGGGAGCAAAAGTACAGAGACCATGCCACCTCTCTTGCGGAGGAGCCATGTGAGTAGATATACATGTGTGTCTGTCTCAGAATACGGGAGCCCCTGCCCTAAAATGGCTGTTGTCCTTTTCCTTTCACCTCAGTGTCCTATCATTTCACTGTTTGTTTTGCGGCCCGATTATTTTAACGCCTCCGGCTCAGGCCGCCGCCACTACAGGCCTGCTTTCTTAATTGTGTCCCTTTGGAATTGTCCCATTGGAAGTTGTCCTGTGAATTTTCTCATCGCCTATCCCACTGGACTTCTCCAATTGGAAGTCCCTCCTTTCCTCCGCAAGATCTATCCCCCCTTTCCCCCACAAAGATCTGTTCCCCTCTTTCCCCTCCTAAGATCTGTTCCTCCCTTCCCCCCTAAGATCTTTCCCCCCTTGTCCCCCCTAAAATCTGTCCCCCGTTCCCCCCCTCAACTCGTTTCCCCCTCTTTCCCCTCCTAAGATCTTCCCCCTTCCCCTTGTAAGATCGTTTCCCCCCTTTCCCCCACAAAGTTTTGTTCCCCTCTTTCCTCCAAAGATCTTCCCCCATAAGATCTTTTCTCCTTTCCCCCCGTAAGACCCTTTTCCCACTTTCCGGCAGTGAAATCTTTTCCCCCGTGTCCCCCCCAAGATCTTTTCCCCCTTTCCCGCACAAAAGATTTGTTCCCGTCTTTCCCTTCCTAAGATCTGTTCCCCCATTCCCCCCTAAGATCTTTCCCCCCTTGTCCCCCCCAAGATTTTTTGCCACCTTCCCCCTAAAATCGTTTCCCCCCTTTCCCGCCCTAAGATCCTTTCCCCCCCTTTCCCCCTTCTAAGATCTTTTCCTTTCCCCACCTAAGATCTGTTCCCCCCTTTCCCCCCCGTAAGATCTTGCCGCACCGTTTCCCCCTTAAGACCTTTTTCCCCTTGCCCCCTAAGATCTTTGCTCCCTTTCCCCCCTAAGATTTTTTTCCCAGTCACCTGCATCATCCGGGTCCTTGGCAGATACTGATGCGGATGATGTACGGGATGCTGGCGATGTTGTGCTGGTGAAGCTGTGGGCCTGGGGAGGGGTAAGAGGGGAAACGACCATTTGAAGTCCTCCCATGGCCACTGACCCTTCAAGCCTTATGGAACCGCTCAATTGGAGAGAGAGCCCGATCGAATGTCAAGTTTATGGTGTTCTTGTTGAGCTGACAGGCGTGCCCTCGAACTGAGGAGAGTTTGATCAGCAAAGAGTTGGCCAAAGAGCTGAGGGAGCACTACGAGGAGCTCTTCGCCGGGAAGTTTCCCACAGGCCGAGCTGCCGAACTGCTATTAGATTTTTTCGATGGAACGGCGCAGGCGCATTGGGGCGTGCAGGGCCGGTGTGCGTACATAACCCTTTGGCCCTCGCTTCCCACCATTGTCTCTTGCTTGTGTTTTTGGTGCTTCACTTGTGTATGTGATGCAGCTGCAATGAAGTCTGGGTCAGCTGGCAAGAAAAGCGGTGTTTGGCTATTTTTGCGTGGCACTTTGCTTCCGAAGCTTCCTTTTGTTTTTTGCGCGATGCACACAGTCTGCCAAAATGTTGCGCGGGTAACGGGTTGCGCTGTGTCGAAATGTTGCCAGCCACAGCAAGATGCCAGTGAGGTGATGCGGAACTTAGCGGGCCGCGCAGACGCGCGGCTTGTTTTCTGATTCCTTGCCAGATCCTGAGGCGCCATTGAAGTGGCTGGCGGCGCTGGTTGGAATTTTGTCGCTGTGTCCATGTGGTAGCAGGTGCGTTTGGGTGGGATATGAGGTGTACGAGGCAGACGAGTTTGGATGGGGCATTGAGTGCCTTGATGGCACAGAAAATTTCTCTCGCTTTGTGAATGGGTGCGGGCCCGTGTGGGGCCATGTGTGGACGGGTATGGCAAAGTGTGCCAACCGATCAAGGGCCCGTGGCCATGTGGCCGCTTGTGGCTTCGGTAAGCCGACGAACGCCGAACCATTCAGCGTGTGTTTGAAGCTCGCACTTTCGATTTTCGCCTGACAAAATGGCTGTTGCTTGGCTTGAGGAAGCGGCCCAGCTTGGAGTTTCTGAATCAGTGGCAGATGAGCTGTTGCGGCTGGGGTGTCCTGGACTCGCAGTCCTTTGAGCAGTTCTTGAAGCATGTCCTGAAAGTTGTTCCGAACGGGTGTGCGCACAGACATGTTGGCCGGCGCCCTGGTTAGGACGCAGGCAAAGTCTCCACCGCAGACCAGAGCGCACGCGAGGAGCTGGAGAAATCATTCCCGGCACCATGGTCACAAGCAGCACCAGCACCTGCGTCCACGGCAGTGCCAAGTGGCTGCGTCCACACGTCAAGGTGGATCACTTGCACCCGTTGCGCAAACAAGTAGATTTTTTAGTGCGCATGGTTCCCCGCTTGCCCGCTCAGGCTCAAGAGAAGTGTTCTCGCAGTTTGCTGAGCGGGGAGGAGGCGCAAATGGTGCGTCAGCCAGCCTTGCAACAGGGCGGCTTTCCTGACGGGGGACATCGATGGTTCTTTGCCGCAGCTGCTTTCGTATCGCCGCTTCAGGGAAACGGGGCGCTTGTTCCCCTGACTGCAGAAGAGAAGAGGCGGCTGCAGACTTACCTGTTCCATTTTACTTTCAAGGACGAGTGGCGCGTCAGGTGTCGCTGGGCTGCTTAAAAGGCTGCTCGAGTCTCTAAATTCCTTGTTCCGCAGCTTCATGGTTACATCTACATTGGCCACGGGCTTTTTGTCTGTTGTGATGGCGGGATGATTTTGCTGCACGTTCTGTCACCTGTGTGGCCTTTGGTCACTTGCTCCTCTTTGTTGCTTCTTGTAAGAGTTCCTGTCAGCTGGGAGGATAGGCTGGGATTTTGCTGGTTGCATCCAACCATTGTACAAACTACTTTGCCGGCTGCGCGTTCGGCTCATTGCCTGTTGGTCATTTTGGGTTGCTTGCAGAATCACTTTGGGCGCGCCTCTGCCAGGCTGTGTGACACTCAGCAGGGCTGGAAACTGCACTGCTGCGGCTGCCGACGCTTACGCCGCAGCCGATGACGCAATTTTGGGTGCTTACGCATGGTGGGTTGCTGCGGGAGCCACAGCGCGCTGCTTTCAGACCGCTTGGGAAGATTGGGCGCTCGGTTCAACTTCAGTCTTGCATCGCTGCTCTGGAGAAGGGTCGCGGAGCTGTTTTGTGTTTCCACCAGCTCGATAACTCAGGAAGCAACTTGCCATGTCAGAGCCATGGTCCTTTGTGCTTCAGGCGGCCGGGTGTTGGCGCTGCAAGCTTGGCGTGGCTCTGTGTTTGCATCATGTTGCAGGTGTGCAAAACAAGTGGGCAGATCAGCTAGTTGGACGGGTTGGCGCGCAGACTTAAGCAAGGTTTTGCAGGAGCGGCGGCGTGGGTGAAGCAAGCGCGCCTGCCTGGTGTAGCAGCACGTCGTGCCTGACGGCACTTGTCGTTATTTAGAGCGCTTTGCTCTGCAGTTGGGGCTTGTCTCGTTTGGCCGCTTTTCTGGTTAGGGCAGATGGACTGGCCCGACTGTGGGGCCTCCGCGCCATGCATTCGCCCGGTGTGGCCACCGGCCCTGTTCGGCCCAAAACGCAGAAACAACGAACAAGATCCACAACAGATCCACCAATGAAGGTAGGAATCCATCCGCCCGAGTCCCGGGGGGCGCACCCCGCCAACCCTTCAACAATCAGGGCCTGCGAAACTGGGGCCTAGTTCCCGCTTCCCTTCAGAACCGCTGCCTTCGCCACCGATGGCCGCCAAACCGGACTTCTCCGGGTTGCTGAGGATCACCGTCCACAGGGCCGTGGAGACATCCCCCACGCCAGTGGACGAGCTGAACCGCAGGCGCGGTGTGCTCTCGTTTCGGGGGCTCGCGGGCTCATCCATCACCAGCTGCAGGCAAGTTGCCTTGTCTTTGTGCCAGCCCGTGATCTGGAGCAGCCGTGAGCCCCCTCTGCCCGCCTTCCAGAAGCCCTTGCAGAACCTGCACATGTAGCCGCCCGTGGTCTTGAACTTCCTTGTTCACCACTTCCCAGGCGCTGATGCTGGGCAAGACCAGCCCGCACTCCGCCGAGCCCCAGAACGCGCTCCGTCTTGTAGGCCTTCCCCACCACTGCCATCACCGTGGCCGTGGTGATGGGCGGGTAGCGCCTGGTGCCCTGGTCTGTGGTGCGCAGGGTGGTGTCCGCTCCGGCCAGGACCTTGTGCTTTGGACCCGCCTCCCCTCCAGGGCCGGAGGCACCAGTCCGGCCAGCTTGGTGTACACCGCGCCGAAGTCCTTGAGTGTGATCCGCTCATTGCAGATGGTCCGGAATCTCAGGGCCTCCTTGCTGTCGTGGACTGGTGCCACCGGCAACTCCATCACGGGCGTGGGGCGATTCACAATGAAGTTCTTCGCAGCCAGAAACGTCCCCATCTCCTTGAAGATGTAGCTCCACTCCTGCTTGCTGCGGGGCTTCGGGATGCCAAGGCTCTCCATGAAGGTTACCGCCTCCTTCCGCATCTGGAGGATGTTCCCCCGTGCGCTGCGGCTTCACCACCAAGGGGAACGTTGCCCAAGCCGAGTAGATGCACTAAAACGTGAACCGGTGGGCATAGACGGGAGGTCCCATGTCCTGGTCTGCCTCGACCAGAAGACCATGCTTGGCCCAGAACGCCCCCACGATCTCCTCCGGCAGGGGGCGTTCCCCCCCGAGACACCTGCTCCTTGATCTCCAGGGCCCCGTAGATGATCGGGTCGATGTGGTCCGTCTCATACACACACGGGTGTGTCCTGCGCTCAATGGCCAGGATCTCATCCGGCGAGAGCTTGAACTGCGCTCCGCGTGCGGGGGGATCTCACCGTGGGCGTGCTGGGATTGGGCGGGCTGCAGGTTGTACCACCTGCAGCCTGAGTGGTCAATCTCTGCACAGCAAAGTGTATTGAGGGTTGTCCCAGGGGCACGGCCAGCACGCCTACATAACCTTGCTCCCACCATCGTCTGCTTGTGTTTTCGGCGCTTCTTGCGTGTGTTTGTGCTTGCAGCTGCAATGAAGTCTGGGTTGGGTCTGAGCGCAGCTAGCGAGAAACGCCCACCCACCCACCCTGATCATCACTTGTTGTTTGTGAAGTTGTGGGCCCAGCCTCAGTGGTCAATCTCTGCGGTGAAAAGTGCGTGTGGGCAACTTAGGGATTGAGGGCTGTTTGGCGTTCAATGTTCCGTTTGTTCCAAATGTGCTGGGACATGTAACAACTTCCGGGCCAAAAGGCAATCCCTCGAGGCGTCTACCCCGATGAGTGGCACTGGCGGGAGGGCATCTCCAAGCCGGACAAGTTCCGGGAGATCGTGAACGCCTGGAGCCTTTCGAAGAACGCTGATCGAAATGAGGGGGGACAAGAACGTCTCAGGGGCCCCCCACGTGTCAGATGCATATCGGAACTTTAACACCAGCGGGCTCACTTCTTCTCATGTGTCTTGACGGCCCGAAAGTTTGACACTGAATTTTCATGAAGTGGAAGGCCACACGCAGCGCTAAAAGGCCTTTACACGTCGTCAAAGGGCAAACCAAAGAACTGATACCATTGAGCTTCGCAGCTGCTAGCATCAAGCTGACAAATGGTTGAGACCGAAGTGAAGCCAAGAGGAATAATCACCCAACAAACTCGCATGATGTTCCTTCAAAAGGAGGCTGGTCGTACAAATTGTTATAGAAATGGAATTCCTAGATCTAAAGCCTGTGACCCTTGAGCTGGGAGAGCTTGGTTTGATGAACCACCCTTTCAACATTAAAAGGCTAAGGCTTGAACTTGAGAATTTCAGCAACCCCCCAAACAGGTTGGACACTAAAGAGGACGGACCGCAAAACCCCTTTGTGTGACTGTTTACTATTTGGGGAGCACCTAAAAAGCGAGTTCCTAATGTTTGCCCGTTTGCCCGACTTTTAGGCCAGTTGTTTGTTGCCCGCGGGATTTTTCAGGCATTTTTCCCGACAAACAACATTCTACAATAGAGGCCCCAAATACGCCCCAATTCATCCCGCCAGCCAAGCGTTTTCCGTCATAAAATGTCAAATCTATGTGCACACAATACGCTGGCCGAGCAAAGGCTGCGTTTCTTGAAGTTCAAAACGATTATAACCCTTTCCCTCTACCTTCCTTTTCGATGAGAACTACGCAGGTTCACACGGTCAATTTTGGACCCTGGGAACCCCCTCTATCATAAATATTCAATGGTGTGATAACTGACATTGCACTTGTTCATTCCACCGTCGGTTGACCGGACAGGGTTTTTTTGCCAGCGGGTAAGAAGGAAATATGTTATCTGACCGGACTATATACATGCAGCTGTTCAAGCCCTTCTGGGCCAATGCCAATACATGTTGATAGATGTTCATGTAACACATACATTATTCAGACGTGCATATGCATTTATTCATGGGTTGTATGTGTTCACAAGATGCATCAACATGAACATACACACATATATTTATACATATATATATATAGGTATGTATGTGTTCATATGCATAAACACCCTGCATGCACCTTTCCAACACCCGTGTTTAGCCCACATTCCCACTTGGTCCTCCCCGCCAAAAAGCGCCGGCGAGGAAGAGCTCGCCGCTGGTGGCGTCGGTGGCGCTGAGCGCCCAGGTCATTGGGCGAAATTGGCGCAGCCGCCAAAAACCTGGGCGCAGAGAGAGACAGAACCAGCTTTGCCGGGGGTTGGGGTGGTATTCAGTTTGGGAATTCTAGTCATTTGCCCAGATTGAGCCTTTCCTTTGCTTGAAGGAAACCTATGAGTTGCTGTTGGGACGGTTTGAAGAGTCAGCTATTGGCCCTGAGCAAATCCAGATAAGTTGATGTTGGTTGCTTTGTGGAGAAGTCTTGGTTGAGGCCTCAGATGGGTCCGAACCGTAGTCCCAGGTTTAGGCAGCCCAGGTGGCGCAGAAGGCAGCGGCGCTAATGGGCTGGGAGGCGGTGCGCCTGGCGCAGGAGGATGTGCTGTGGAAGCCCCCAGGCGCGACTTGCGGGCTTTGCATTTTTTTCGCAAAAACATCAAGGGGGGGCCCCAAAAGGAGTCTTGGAGCAAAAAGTGTTGAAACCCGACAGGTTGCCAGGAGCCGGGTTCCTCGGTGGATTGTATTTGGCGCGATCCGGGCGCGATCCGCCTCCCACCCCCACTTACCAGGTGTTTGGGGGTTGGGTGCGTAAAAGAAAACAACCCCCAGAAAGTTCACGTCAGGCTTGTTAACTTCGGGTTCCACGCAACGGCCAGCCCAAAATTTGCCCACTGCACACCAATCCAATCAAACACTCGGAGTATAGTAGCATATGATCGGGGGCAGGATAATTGTCGTTGGCAAGTGTTTGAGAGTTGGTCGACAGAATCCGACGCTCATGGTGAGTTGTTAAAAAGAACGGGCCTCGATGAGGAAGCAAACTTGTCAACGGTACGGTTGTTCTTCAACCGCATTGCCTATGGCCTTTTATGCGTCTCTATTCCTTGTCTTAGAGACTGCGGAATGATTACGGATGACGCCGAAGAGGCTGAGGCAAAGTGCAGGGTCAGCAGTGGTGGGAGGATAGCGGCCCCGGCTTTGCGACCCAGGGCAACCAGACAGAGAGAGAGAAAGAGGAAGGCGTTAAGCATAAGTCGCATCAATGGACTGGGGACCTTGGATTCATCCGGGCGGTCCCAAAAGCCTAATCCCAAATTCCTGCCCCACTTCTTTTTGGATGTTTTTTTTCTTTTACAGGGCGGCAGTGTGATGCCAACCCAATGCATGGCTTGGCTGGTGGACAGGTGAGGTAGTTTCCTTCTTCTTGGAGCTCCAGGGTCGACTGGGCATGTTATGTGGCTGTGGTTCAGCTGCTCGAGAGGCGCCAGCGGTGTGGGCTACCACCAAGACTCAGCGTCCTCTGGGCTGCAGATAGAGCACTTGCGCGAGCAGCGGGGTGGTGCAAGAGTCTCGGGATCAAAGCATCTCACTGGAAAATGGTGCAATGAATACCAGTGGAACGTGCGGCAGTTGGCAGGACCCATAGATGGTTACCGGAGACCATGCAAACCCAACATGTTTGGGGCCGCCTTTTCAAAGCCAGGTACATTTCCCAAAACTTCCGGCCTCTGGAGAGCAATTCCGTGACTGTCTGGATTGCGCTGGATGACGCGGATGCGGATACCGGCGTGGCGCCTGGCTGCATGCAACCTATGGGGAAAAATCCACCCAGAGTGTGCAAGCCGGCATGACACCAAGCAGGTCGGCATTGCTTTTGTCAGGGCTCCTGCGCCACCCGAAACGCGCGTCACCTGGTCTCTCACATAGCAAATCAACCATTTAACTTCTAATGTGTAAATGCAGACCCATGTGTCACACGTCCCACAAGTGAAAATGTGATGCGTTGGGGGAGTGAGGTAGGCGATTGTGAGATTTCAGGCCTGTCATTGCCTTACGCCTGTTTTCAGGTGGCGAGGTAGCGACATGATGAGGTCCTAGCAGTTTGTAGTGGATTCGGTTGAAGAGCAACGACAAGATATGTGTCTTCTGAGCTTGTGAAGCAGCCATGCAAACGGCCTAGTGTAAGCGCATAAACAGCATATGTGACGCCACTCAGCGCCGACAAGGAAGTATTTTTTGTCTTGGCAGGCACTGGTGGGGCTTCGGCTGTGGCTGCCCATTGAGGTTGCAAGCGGCGTAATTCCTTGGCTTGATACGATTAGCTAGGCGAATTCAAAAGGCTGTGCGTCGTGGGCTCGGTTTACCAGGGGTCAACAAGTCACACGGGCAGATACTGCTTCTCAGGTGATTGACTTTGGGGAGGACGAAAAGAGAGAAAATTGGGAACCCCAAATTGGCGTGCTTCAGTTTTGTTTCGGTTTCCCTTTAGAGCCAAAGACGGGAAGTTGTGGCTCTCCCTTGCCTCTTTAAACCAAACACATACAGCCATGGAAGAAACACCGCCAAAAGATGACACCTTAAGAAGATACATGCCCACCTGGATTGACCATGGCTAGGAAGCAGTCCCAGCTGAATTGCCTTTTGACGGGCTCCCGGTGGCTGCCGTAAAGTCCGCAAGTCCTCAGGTGGAGTACGCCGTGGGCTCCCACCGCTGGCCGGCCTTTGAGTCCAGCGCCGTGAACTCCTCCTTTCACGGCGCCAAGGACGAGCAGCTTGGATAGGGCGACAGGGAAACAGATTCCGAACCGGGGTGTGTGTGTGTGTGTGATTTCATGAGGCGCAGAACTTAGAACAGTATTTGTTGATGCACAGAAGCTATCCGCATTGGGAGTTCTTCCTCCAGCTGCGAATCAAAGATGCGAACGCCCAAGCGCAATTCCTGCGGCCAAGCTCGAGCGACTGGCCCCGCCTCAGGCAGCGGAAGCGCTTGGCCCAGTCTGATTGGAGAGCAGCCTTGCCAGAGCGACCGCAGTCTGTGTTGCGCGTCTGCGATTCCTGCGGGCTGACCGTTGGCCTTTCAGCCTTCTCCCGCGGGCTGCAGCGCTTTGCAGGGATGGTGGTGTTTGCCGGATCTGCTGGAGCATGTCCCAACGCCGAGTGGCTGTCGGGCGGGCTGGACGAAGCTTGCAAGCGGTTTGGGGCAGCACGCGCGGCGGTGGCGGCGGGTTGGCGGGGCTGGCCAATGCAAAATACAAGCGTTCAACGTAGGTTCCGAAGGAACATGCATTTGGGAGCACCGTAAAATGTGGAATACTGTCGGATGTTTTAGAGATAGAATACCGCGACACGTGCTAAATATGTCAAAAGCTTGTGCGGTGACTAACTGCAAGTTCCTGAAGATTGAATATTTACACACGGCGTTGTTTCGAAGCTGGGTAGGAAGAGTCAGGTCTGCAACAGGGAGTTCTTGCGTGATCCCAAGATAGAAAAGCCATAAAATATCTAATCTCACATTGAAGTTCTAGCTGAGTTTGATTTAAACCCAGACTTGGACACGAATGGCTTCAAATTCTAGATTGAGATTGGGTTCTGAATGGGGGCACGTGTTTTAGAAACGTTGCGTACGCGTGTGTGTAATTATTTGTCATTTAGTCGTAACTTCTGGATGGTGTTGGCTCGCTGACCCGTAAATTGACTCGCCGTGATCCGGCAAATGGCAGCATTCTATCTCTACTGTGCGTGCATATAGCGCGCGAGCCACGTCATTCTAAGACGGCGAAAGTGCAGACAGCAGCGAGCCGAGACCTGATTGGCAAGGGAAATCCTATTTAAGCTCCATAAATCGAAACGCAAATTCGAACAAAGCCGCAAACTTGTTCGGCAAGGAGTGCCCATTTAGATTCGATTTCGTTCTGCAAATATTAGTTACAGAGAGAGCTCAAGGGGAAACCACTTGTTTTTGTTTGGGGAGTCATTGATTTACAAAAAGTCCTGCCTCGGCATGTTCAGGGCTTGGCAGAGTTGCGTGTTGGTTCCTGGTGTTTGTTGGTGTTTTCCAGATCCTTTTCCATGTCATCCAATTGACAGGTTGCAACAAAATCACGCAAGTCACTTTGCAAAAAATGGTCTCATCCACTGGGCCAGCCGAGGCTCGCCGCGGTGCGCGCCGCCGCAGAAGCCGCGAAGGCAGAGCTCGAGATTCGGCGCCTGGCAGTGCCTATGGGGGGCGCGGTGTTCCATCACCAGGACCAATCCGACGGGTCCGACGGGTCCGACGGGTCCGATATCAATCTGTTTGTTCACCGAACCATTCAGCCTGCGAGGCAAACCTTGATGGGTTTTACACCCGCCGTCCGTTTACACGCGGGTTGGTGGCAAATTCGCTCCAACCGCGCCCAGTTTCCATGGCCTTGAACAGGAAAACCTCAATGAACATGTCAAAAGAACTGGGATGTGAAGCGTTGGACGCCCTCCTTGCTTTGAGCATCGCTGGTCATTGTTCAAGGGCGTCGGTCCCCACAATAGAAGTTGAGATTGCCCACGCGTTGTTTCTTTCATGTTGTTTTGGGTGTCTAGCTTTGAGTCGATCACCATTTGCTCCAAAAGGAGGCGTTGGCCGTCGCTTTGTGTCAAAAGTAGAAAAGCGTAGATTCTGCAGACGCTGGCGCTCTATGCTGAATAAGGCTCAAAGTCTTCTGGATCCATCCCAACGGCCAGTGCTTCCCACTGGCGCAAGCTTCTGGCTCGCTTTGCCTTTGGAATCGATCCAAGAAGCAGGCAAGCAAACAAAGGGCCTCAAATACAACCCTCAGTCTTCTCACTCAAGTCCGTCCTTCCCGGTTCTCTTTGCGAGGACACGTGGCACGGCTCCGGGCCAAATCGCACCAGCGACCGGCCCCGGCGCGCTTTGGGCGTGCACCTGCTGCGGCGCCGGAGGTCCAAGCGGGCCAAGCGCGCGGGCGGAGGGCGGAGTGCGTCGTTTAGGAGTTGTTCGGTATGAAAGATTGGAGGATTGCACCCATGGACCCATGAAGAGATCCTTCAAAAGCCATCTTTTGGCCAGTTGGGTGTGCTTTCTGCGCTCCCTGTTGCCCCGCATACAAGAAAGCTGCTTGCTTTGGCCCTGAGCAACAGATAGATCGGACCAGAAGGTGGAGCCAAGACGCAATATGAGGCAATATGCTGACCAACTAGAAAATGTTCGCTCAAAAAGGAGACGCTTTCTGGTCTCCCAAAGAAACGCAAGCCTCGAGGAGTTCCTCCTCGTGACAGCGTTGGCAAACCTCTCCAATCGGGTAGCAAGTTATGAGAGTTTCCAAGAAGAAACCAACCAAAAAGTCGCTCGTTTTGACATGTGCCCCAAATTCACGATGTTAAAAGGAACCATGCCAAGTTGACCCCCCCCCCTGCCCGCAGGCAGTCTTCACAAGCGCAAGCCTTTCCAGTTGCAAAACCTCATGTTCTCGGCATGTGTCGTGCATCAATACGCAAGCGTTCCAAACATTTCTTCCCCAAGGCTTTCTGTTGCCCCCTCGCAATCTTGTTGGCTGTTCCCCCTTGGCTGACGAACGAAAACACATAGTTCAATTCCGGCCATGCACAAATTCCAAGGAGGGCTAGGCGTCAACGAATCGGATCAATGGCTTACCACTGTCGGGGGTTCGGTCAATGTCGTCGAGCGATTGCCTTGACGCTTGTCCACATCGCCTGGAGTTCCTGCAAGGCTCCTGTTTTGGAAACTGCTTGTTCTGTCGCTGCCTTTAGTGGCAGGGGCGTGTTTCTTCTTGACGCGTTTGGTTGTACTACAAGCCTCCTGTGGAAGAGTGTAGTTTTGTATATCTTCGGGCAGCTTCGCCCCGCATCTCAGGCATATCGCGGCATATCCCTGGTTCTGCGCCCCCAAGAGCTGATCCACTTGTCATTGGCAGTTCTTCGCGACAACGCTTGACCAGTTAAAAGGCTCAGGCAGGCTGTGGAATTTTTAGGAGGGAGAATGAGCCCGTAGGCGTTGCCTGGTATGCTTTCGAGTTAGGGGAGTTTGTCTCTTCAGTAGGAAGTCCTTGTTTTGGTCACACTAGTAGCGGTGAAGGGGACCCAAAGTTAAGAAAAGGGTATGTTTGCAGATTGAGGGGAGAGTGTTGGCCTTTGAGACTCAGCCCGAGCCACTGTGAAGTCACAGCTGTTTGAGGCGACGTCACCTTCAGGGCGGAGCCGCCGCCGGAGCCATCCGGGGGGCGGGGTCAGCAAAATCAACCGTTGCTGCGGTCTATTTGTAGATGACAGTTTTAGGGAGGACTTAGTGATGACTTGGTCTTGACACTCATGTCCTGCCAGCATCTTTCGAGCAATTCGGGTTCGCTTTCTGCAAAAAGCAAGTCAGATTTGGAGGTATCTGCAGTTTGGCTGAGGTGGGGTGGGTGGGTCGCTCCTTCTGAGCTGCCTTGACTGCATCAAGCATCGAACCCTGTTGATCCCAATGCATCTTGCATCTCAGAGCTTGTCCAGCTCAACTTGTTAGAAAGGGGGTTGGGTTGGTTGAGCTGTGGTAGAGTTTTGCTTGTTTTGGTTTTGTTTTGTTTTTTTTGCTGCAATGGTGCCTTGGAAGCACCTCAGTGATTTGGGCAGCGACAGCCCCCTGCCGTTGCCTGCCCGGCGCATAGCACATGTGAACTTTGATGTCGGTACCCCACGCCCTGTGCCAGCTGCACGACGGGCGGCTTCTTTTCAGTTCCATTCCTCGCCGCAACCTTTGCCTCCGGCGAAGCGGGCAAAGTTGGGCATGCCACCTTGGCAGCCAACACCTGTGAAGGAGCAAGCCTTGGCTATCATTCCCTCGTGTGTTGCGCGGCCATAGTATAATGAGCGCCTGCAGCCAAGGTTCAGTCGCGCAGTCTGCACGCGAGGCCAAATGATGCCAAATGATGCCGACCAAGACGGCAAGGGATGGTGTGGGGATGCTTAACCCGCTGCTGCCTTAATTCCAACTGGGGTGAGTTTTTACTTGCCGAGGTGCAAGAGATGCGGGCTGCTTGTCCCAAGCAAGATTTCTTGCTGCGTAATGGCGATAAAAAAAGACGCCCCCACGCAACGCGCAATGCGGGTAAGCGTGAAGTCCAGCCAAAGCAGTGGTGTAAGGTGTGAGCCTTCTAATAATTAAGTTGCTTAATATGTATTATATATATATATATATAGCCTGGCTTGGCTTCATGCTCAATTAACACCCTGTGTTTTGCCTTTTTTTCTCCGCTGAGCAGGCCCGCGTGGGTCCTTTTTCTCCGCTGAGTTTCGCTCCGCTGAGCTGACCCGAGTGGGTCCTTCTACTCCGCTGAGTTTCGCTCCGCTGAGCTTTGCTTTGAATCCCCCTGTTGCTTTTTTCGGGAGTGTTGTTTTTGCTCCGCTTGGGTGACCTGAAGTGGCCCTTGCTTTTTGTTGTTGGTTTTGTTGTGGTCTGGTCCCGAGTTGGCATTTATGCTTCCCACGCGGTTCAATTTGGTGCAGCTAGAGGGTTTCTGGCGCCTGGGTTGTAATTTGTGTGCGCCTTGCGTTCTATGGCTGCGCATGGCAGAAGGGGTTGAAGGATGCGCTGTTGCCTGAAGAGGCCCTGTTGCAAATAGGGCACGAAACCAAGGATTTGCTGCGGCTGGGCAATTCTGAGGCTTGCTGAGCTCCTGCAATGCTGTGCAACACCCTTTGGTTGCTGGCCCAGCTGGCTGGCCTGTGTTGGTAGGCCAGCTGGGCCACTGTGTAGCACATTGTTGCAGAAAAGAGCACAAGTCCTTGAGTCGCAAGGTTGAGCTGCCTTGACTGCATCAGCTGGCAAGCATCGAACCCTGTTGATCCCAATGCATCTTGCATCTCAGATCTTGTCCAGCTCAACTTGTTAGGAAGGGGTTGCCCCCTGGGTTGGTTGAGCTGTGGTAGACTTTTTGCTCCCACCCACCCTTGCTGTGATTTGCCAGCCTGGGGGCTGCTGTGCTGGCCCAGCTGGCTGACCTGTGTTGGTAGGCCAGCTGGGCCACTGTGTATCACATCATTGCAAAAAAGAGGACAAGTGCTTGGGTCACAAGGTTGAGCTGCTTTGACTGCATCAGCTGGCAAGCGTCGAACCCTGTTGATCCCAATGCATCTTGCACCTCAGAGCTTGTCCAGCTCAACTTGTTAGGAAGGGGGTTGCCCCCTGGGTTGGTTGAGCTGTAGTTGTGCACGCCTGCGTGAGCTCGGCGCAGGTCGTTTCAGTGTGTGGCGCGCGCGATTCTGCTGGTCGAAGACGACCGTTGTGGCTTTTGCTTTCTCGTTCTTTGTTGCAAATTGCAACGCGAGGGGAAGAATGGGCTGACCTTGGCGACTCGAGCCGTTGATGTGTTAAGGACTCTGAGGGTAGGGCTGCGAAGAAATAAGCTACGCCGTTGCTTCTGGTTGCCTTACAGACCAATGTCCAGGATACTTTGCTCTCGGTTAGACAGCTTGGTCTTGAACGGGCTTGTTAATTTTTTTGTGGCTCCTGGCATGAAGATAACGTTTTCTCCCGAGATGAGTGATTGTGTTTTTTGCCGGGCCGACATTTTTCTGAACCAACCATGGAGCGCAACTGGATCTGAAGGGCCTTTTTTTGGGACCCAACAAATATGTGGCGTTGTGCAGGCGGCGCCCAAAGAGGGCTGCCAAAGGGCCCACAGTGTCATTTCAATGAAGGTCATTCGAGCACTCCCAAGGATTTCCACTCTCCCAAACAGCTATGCCCCTGCCTAACCATTGTGCATCATTAAAAAGTCCTGTTTCGATTTGCCTTCTGAGATGCCCAGAAGACTTACCGCGGCATCCGCTGTCCCACTAGGACTACATCTACGGGCGCTACGTGCTGGCGGAAAACTCGGAAGAGGTATCCGAGCAGTTCTTCCCCATCACCTGGACGCCTTCAGGCCGTCGATCGCTGGTTCGCTTTGGGCGTGGTAGCTCCGGGCCCTTGCCCTGGCTGTTTAGACAGCAATCTCCACAGGGAAAAATGAGCAACTCTCTATGAGACGGTAGTTCAATGCATTTGTTTTTCAACACGAAGGTCACTGTTTCATGCCAGTGTTGCCTGATGTTCTTTTAGGTGAGAGGGATTTCCAAAGGGGCAATTCTCACGTACACAACATGGTGCATAGAAGGTCAAGCAACCATGTGGACATCGCAGAGAATTCCAAACTACCATTGCAAACAGATGAACGCCACCAAGAGCCGACGAATGTTAGCCATCCCCAGTTGGGGCTTAGCTTCCAGATGCTCCCCAATTCAAAGCCGAAGGTCTCAACCATAAGTCAAGGCGACCGCAAAGAGAATTCCTCGCCATGAGGTTTTACGGCGGTTTTATGGGTTCGGATCCCAAATTTTGATTGAAGCGCAGCCACGCTCAGAGCGCAAAGGCTACGTGAGCCCCGTGGTGCGACGCTTGCTGAAGAAACGGAAGGCGCGGAGGGCTTGCAGGACGTGGCTTCGAGGCATTTGTGAAGAGCTGCAGGTCAAAGTGGTTTTGCCATGCAGGAGTCTTTCATTCGTTTCAGGGTTTTGGAAACACTTTCTGGGTTGCAGTCCCGATAGGCCTCTTTTTCTGAATCCTTTGACCAACAGCACGCCTGCATGAAGCCAGCACCTTGTGGTGACAACCCCAGCATTGGGTCGCTTGGGTTCAGAAAGTGTAAGTTGTGTTCCTTCCAGAATCAACCACTTGCTTCTTGCCCCCAAGCACTAGTGGCACCTACGCAAATAGGCAGCTGACAGGTGTTTGGCAGATGACAGTGTGACAAAGACCTGCCCATGAGGTAGCAATGCTTTGGGAAATGTCTGATGGGATTCCTGGTGGGGCTGAAGCAGCACCACAAAAGGTGTGTTGGCGGTGTGAAGAGATGCTGGATGCATTAACTGGACGAAGTTAGTTAGCTAGTCAGTTCACTAGCTAGCTAGTTATAGTTGGTAAGTTAATTAGTCCGGTTGTTTGTTTGCTTGCTTGCTTGTTTGCTTGCTTGCTTGCTTGCTTGTTTGTTTGTTTATTTGTTTGGTTGTTTGTTTGTTTGTTTCTTCGTTTATTTGTTTATTTGATTTTTGTTGTGTGTTGTGTCGTTTTGTTTAAGTTGCCTTTGTTTGTTAGTCCGTCCGTGTGATTTCCCGAAGTCTTGAGGTGTGCAACCACTTTGTGGATAAAGCAAGCCATGAGAGCACAAGGAATCGAGGAAGCCGGTCTCAAGGGGCGTCATCCTACAAGTCTAACATCATGAATCCCAAGTCACGCAATGCTTACATCGGCCATGACCACCATCAGAACCTCGCGTTGTTGCCTTGCTTGTGGTTACATCAGGTAGACCCCTTATTCCCTTCATAACTAGAAGTAGAAGTAGACAAATGGTCCAATTGTACTTCGGTCAGTTTCTCACACGAGTAACAAGCTTGCCCATAAATAAGGACGTTGGCGTATGGGTATCTTCTTGAGATCAGTGTGACTCTCAATGCTTGGTCTCTCGGTCCCTTCTTTGAGTTGCCCCTGGGTTGCTGAAATGGACCGTGTGGGCTCAGAAGGCGGCTGATGTGGAGCATGCTTTGACGCACAGGTTGCGTTGCCACAGTGAAGCTCTGCGCACGGCCAAGGGCAGAAAGCGCCGGGTCAGGGGGCCTGTGTCGGTGTTCCCCGAAAGGTCAAACTAGTTGTTCCAAGTCTTTAAGCGAGCAATTTGCGCAGACAGGCAGCTTTGTCAGGAACGCGTTCCAGGTGTTCGGCCTGCAAGGGATGCTCAACGAGCCACCTTCCAGATCTTGAGTGCATGCCAGGCGTGATTTTCAGAAGCGCCCACCCACACAAAATATCCTGCGTAATGAAAGGGTAGAAAGGTCATTCCCACCCATTTATGGAGGGACTCCTCTTCGCGGTTGTTGGCTATAGCAAATTGAAGGGCTGCAGATGGCCAAAGTCAGTTCAGTTCATCGACAGTTGTGTCCGAACAAGCAGGTGACACCCTCTCGTTTTCGTGCCTACTCTACATTGCGGAACCACATTGCAAATGTCGGGTCTCCACGGCATTGCACAGATAGTCAGCTCATTGGACAGGGATAAGATGAGGTCGGGAAGCTTGCATCTTGGGCATCCCTGAGGGCAAAGGCTACACTTTCGGAGCGAAGCCAACCACCTTCCATTTTTCGAAACTTGCAGGTTCCATGGAGACTGTCGGCTTGGATCCTTCGGCTCTGTACACGGCTTCGGCTCCAGTTCCTTCGGGTCCGGTTCGGCTTACGCGCCTTAGGCCATTTGTTGCCAAACCGTCACAACCTGTCACAACCTGTTCAATGCATCCCTATTCCAAAAGTAGGTTGCAAGAGCTCATGCCAAAGTCCAGCATGCAAATGCCAACTTTCCGAACATGTGTGTCCTCAAGAAGCTGCAAGAATCCTCCGAAGAAGCACTTGCCGCCGCAATTTTTCGATCCCGTGCTTCGGGCTGTGCCATGCTGGCGGGTGATGCCAGCTCCGACGCAGAGGAGCACTCCCATTCTTGAGCGCAAATGCGTTAGAGGGAAGAGAAGTTCAGGGACCCTGTTTTTTCCAACCATTTCTACCTCTTGGTGTCCCTCGAGAGCAGCCAAGAATCCAATCCAACCTGGTCCTTGCTCCCGTTGGCTCAATTCCAAAATATCTACCTTGAGCCCCTTTTAGAGAATTTGTTTGATATTCTCCGAAGGCCCCTTCAATAGGTTTGCCCTTTTCGGTTTAGTTGCGTCCCAAGGCTTTGGTCTGTCATTCCCCGGTCCTTTGGCTAAAGTGAGTCAAAGATTGCCTTTTTGGGGGGGACACATCAAAGAAATCCTTCACGGACCTGAAACAATTTGAGTTTATGGGGCTGCAATCCCAATCCATGGTGGATGTCAATTTTACAGCATCTTCTTGTATGGTCACGGTTTCCTTGTCCAACATGCTTCCAAACTTGCCATTGTCTGTCTCCCTAGCTGCCGCTGAAAAGGCTTCCATTTATCCCTCGTGGCCGGGTAGCGAGACATGCTTAACAGGAGATTAGCCAGAGAAGCTGAGACATTGAAGTGGGACGCGGAGAATCCATTCAAAGCTCAGATTGTTTGTCCGAAGAATTCCAGATGTCGCTCAACTCAGTATGCTCAGTGAATAACAATCCACTGGCCAAAAGATGTTTAAGAACGGAACACATGCTTCACGAGAGAGAACAGACCCACAAATCAGAAAGCCTTGCCCGTTGTTCCTTTTGGCTTTCCCATTTGGGTGTGTGTGTGTGTGCGTATGTGTGTGTGTGTGTCAAGAGATTTGCAATTTTTGGGCTTGGCGCCTTGTGCCGCCTTTTGAAGCGGATACCAAAAAGACGCCTTAATTTGAAGAGCATCCAACAGCGCGGCCCCGAGTGGAACAGAACCAGGAACGGAGTTGATACCAAGAGGGGCAACAAAAGCTGGAAAAGAAAGAGGAAAGAAGAGGTGGGAGGAGATATTTCAGACTGCATTCTCCATTTACTTGGATCACCGTGACATGCACTTAAGCACGAACTCGAATACTAGTGCAAGGTCCTGCCTTTCTGCATTTAAACTTTGCATGAAATCCGGAAAAATGTCTAAACACACCCCACACGAGAACGTTTGCTTTGATATTAGCTTCCTAGATGTCACGACATTCCCACTCAGCAGTCAGAGACCCGTCCTTAGGGCTGCCTTTCCCCAAGGCTGCCCATGAATGTCTGACGCAGTTTGCTTGTGAAAACGAGCTGAACCTTTTTGGGAGGTCTCAAGAGGAGACTAGCATGAAGCCAATGCTTTTGGCATTTTCCAAAACATTGCGTACTGCAACAAATGCTTTGGTGCTTTGGCTTCTCCCGACAGACCCCAATTTGAGAAC